CCACCCCCCTCAAACCAAGTGATTCTATTTTTTTTTAATTTTATAAAAAGATTTAAAAACATTCAGTTTTTTTTCAAATAGATAATTATATATTTTTTTAAATTACAATATATGAACTATATAATAGTATATTGTTTTATTAGGAGTAAAAACGATACTTTTTGTGGCGAGTCTGTGCGTTTGACGGACAAGCGTACCAATCCGACAGCCGAAGCACAAAAAGTTATTTTGACTCCAAATAGAACATACAACTTTTTTTTCAAACGTCACAAATAATTTTTATGTTACTTGGATTACTTCCATTGACTGTCACTTTGGCAAATAAGAACAATCACCGATTTTTTCGCTACTCGTTAAGTTTTTTGTACGTTTGTGCTTATTGTAGCCCAAAAGTACGAGTGCGAGCCCCTTTTCCGTATCAGTTGGCCCAACGTTAGATGGATTCTTCTTCTTCTTATGGTGCTTATGGTTAGATGACAATTCTAACTTTATTGACCGCAGCTCGAAATAGTCCTGAAGTAGTCAAGGAAAACCATTTTCCTAAGTTCTGGAGCCAAGATATTCTTCTTCTTCGTGGTCCCCTCTTTCCGTAGACCTCTCGCAGTAATATAAGATGCAGCAGGTTATATCTATGATCGTTTCGCATTATATGTCCAAGATGTTCTAGCTTGCGCTGTTTCACTGTGGATATAATTTCACATGTTTTATCCATCCGACGTAGAACCTCAATATTTGTTATTCGGTCCACCCAGGAGATCCTCAGTATCCGTCTATAACACCACATCTCAAACGCCTCGAATTTTCCCATGGATACCTCGGTTAGTGTCCATGATTCAACCCCATAGAGCAGCACTGTAAACACGTAGCATCTCAATAAACGGATTTTTGTTTTTAAGGGTAGGTCGTGGCTCTTAAATATCTTGCTCATTCTGACAAACACAGACCTCGCTTTTTCAATTCTTTGTTTTATCTCAACTGAGTGGTCACACTGGTCATTTATGGTGGTTCCTGAATAGTAGTAACGGGGCACTTGGAGTATTTGTTGCTGATCTACCAGTAATTGACTAGGTGGAATATGCTTCTTACTGATGACCATGTACTTTGTTTTCTTGATGTTAAAATCAAGCCTGTATTCTTGACTGATTCTCCACAATTGCGTTACTAGTGTCTGTAAACCTTCTAAAGTGTCTGCAAAGAGGATGGCGCCGTCTGCATATCTGATGTTATTCAGGCGCTCACCATGTATGAGAATACCCTCTTCGATATGCTCTAAGGCCTGGCTCATGACGTGTTTCGAATAGACGTTAAATAATAGGGGAGAAAGTATGCAGCCCTGTCATACTCCTCTCTTTATTGCAACTTCCTCTGTTAGTTGGTCTTTCACCCGAATGGTTACTGATTGGTTGTAGTATATGTTCTTGATTACTCGAAGGTCTTTGTTATCCAGATCAGTTGCCTTTAGTATATCAATGAGCTTATCGTGCTTGGTTATGTCGAAAGCTTTTTGATAGTCGATAAAGCATACATAAATATTGCAGTTGACGTCTCTGCACCTTTGAAATAATACCTGAACCTCGAACAAGGCTTGTCTTGTAACTAACGCATCCCTGAATCCAATCTGCGTTCGTGAGATCTGTGATTCGCATTTCTGATAAATTCTTCTATGTATTATCTTTAAGGTCGTAAGAATGTAGCTCATTAGACTGACAATACGATACTCTTCGCATTTTTTTTGCATTAGGTTTCTTAGGTATAGCAGTAAATGTAGATTTTAACCAGCTCTCTGGGATTTTTCCTGAGTCATAGATTTTATTGACCGTTGTCGTAAGCCATTTTACTCCTTCGTCTCCCATGATTTTTAGAAATCTGAATAAAAGTTGTTGCCGTCCTTTTGGAAGAAAAATCTACTAATGTTAAGCAATGTTCCATAATCGGTAACTTTCTAACTATGTATATAACTAACTACGATAAAATGTAACTTTCCCACACCTTTAGACGACATGCTGCCCCAGATCATGACAGATGCGGGAAATTTGACTTTTCTCTTCAGAGAGTCGGGATGGCAAATTTCATTTTTCCTGCGAATGACGCGACTCCTACTGTCTCCAACAAACACTTGAAATCTGGACTCATGACTCCATTGTATTGAATCCCATCGCGACTGAGTCCCATCTTTATGCTCGTTTGGCCATCGTCTTCTTCTTCTTCAAGTGCCCTCTCCGCTACGGAGTTTGGCAATCATCATTGCTATTCGTATCTTTGAGGCTGTTGCTTTAAATAATTGGTTAGATGTGCACTGGAACCAGTCATTGCGCAGCCAAGATATACGTCGTCTCCCCACGCTTCGTTTTCCCTAAATCTTTCCTTGACCAAGATATTCCAGCTTTCTTCTATTCATGGTGATCAACAGCTTCCGTTCTTTGTTCATTCTACAAAGAACTACACTATTTGTTATTTTGTCTGTCCAAGGTATTTTCAAAATTCTTCTATATATCCACATTTCGAAGACCTCTAGTTTATCGATATTGCTCTTGTTTAAAGTCCAAGTCTCTACTCTGTACAGCAGTATAGTTAGCATCTAACCAATCTCATTTTCAGGTTTAGGTTAATGTCATGACTTCCCAGAATGTCCTTCATATTAACAAAAGCTCGAGCTTTTCCAAATTCTAATTCTTGACCATCTTGGTCTATTTTTATTCTGTTGTAATGTTAAAAGTGAGTTTTTCTTAGTCTAAAATAAAGTGAATTTTATAAAAAACAATTCGTACTAATTTTTTCAACTATAAAACTGTGTAAGTACTAAATCCTAATTTGTTGGCCTCCCAGGGACATGTTGTTCTAGAAACGTGTCTTCCAATAACGTCACTCCATAAAACGCTTATGGACACATGCTTATAAAACTCTTGTCCTTTTTCATACATCTGTCTATATTTCTTATATAGACAGATGTATGAAATATATCTATATCTCTATATATCTATATCTCTATATATCTATATCTCTATATATCTCTTGCGATTTCCCAATTCGATTTTACAAAATTAAAATATCTAATAATGATTGAATAGATTTTCTCATCGATAACTTTACCTCTACCCATTGTACAATCCACAAACAGCAAAAAGCTTTACAATACTACAAAATACATTTAACTGAGAATATTTTGAGAGTTTTGATGTCATTTTTCCATAGCTACCTCTGGATAAAACGTAATTATGAAAAAATTAATATGTGTTGACATAAGTGAATGAATAGGTTTATCGTATCATATAGGTGAATGAATCGACTTAAACTGGAAGTGGCTCGATTTATGTCTGATTCCGAAGATCCCAAAGCATCATGTATTCCTCTAGATATTTTGTGTACTGCAAAGACAATAACCAAAGAATTATTGTCTACCAAGTCCACTGCGGTTTAGGAAGCTTTTAGGAACAAAAAAATACATTTTATTAGTCTTCTCCCTCTGAGCTTTTCCCGGTAGGCTAAAGCGGCCAGTATAGTAGTAAATTAAAAAAAAATTATTCAGTACAAAAATATTTTATTGACTAATTTTTTGCTTTTAATTATAACTTTCATTTGGAGGGAGGACCGATTGGCATGACCAGCTCATTGAAATCTCTAGGGTCTGGAAAATTCTTAGATAGATGGTTCTATAGTTAATAAAGTTCATGATTATATCCATACCTCCATATACTATTTTCGTTGATGAGTACAAAAATCTTCTTTGGAATTTTAACATAAGTGTTATATTGCAACTCATTTACATTTTACAAATAATACAGTATTAAGACCATCTGATAGATATTATAGATGAAAGAAGCCTTGTTAAATTTCACTCTTTACTTTTTCATTTTTCTGTTTTTTGATTGGTTTATGTCATTTTTCATAAGAATACTTACATAATTTTCTATATCAAATTCAATAGAATGCTTTTTTATAATCCCTGACATATAAATTTTATATAATTCATGACCAAACATTGTTAAAAGAGAATATTGATTTCAAATATTGCTTCCTGTATTAAAACACATTCTCTAGTTTATCTATGCACAAGTTTCCTCTGGGCTGTCATTCCACATAAATTTTGCTACAGTTTCATGGTCAAGAAAAACTGGTCTCTGACAATTTTCCCCCTTATAAATAACATTCTTTTTGGTCCTATATTTTTCTTCTTCTATAATGAATAATCTTGACAATCTTGGCAAGTATCTAGCAATTTATTATGGGAAGATCTATAATCTTCCCGTTATGATCTAACTAAACTGTGTGAATTACAATAAACCATTACCTCTCTAATGATTGAATAAAGAAAGATACTATTTTTTTATTTTCTGCAGTACGAACCATGTAGTATATTTGTGTGTTAAGAACATATTCAGGTACTTACTTCAGAATACATTTAACAAATAACTTTATGATATACTTGGGGTAACTTACTGTATACTTATGTAAACTTTCTGTTTACATCCAAATTATAATTACTATAAAAATACCTGCATACAATAGTTATGTAATTCCAGTTATACACCAAATGCATAAATAATTGAAAAAGTGTGCATATCTAAAGTTGGACATTTAGAACAATAGTAGAAACTAGTTAAAAGGGTAAAATAATTATTAAAGGCACTTAATCAAGTGTGGTAGAAGAATTTAATTATTTCCCTAGATCTTTTATATCTATTTTACTTTAAAATATGACAATATTTATAATCAAGATTGGAGAAATATATTTTAGTAGATTTACCTTGTTAAAAATTATTCCAGACATCTTACACACTTTATAAAATGCTGAACACTGTAGGGTTTTTGAATCACTTTAGAATTTGAAAACTGCCACTTCAAAACTAAAGAGCTCAGAGCTAAAATAAGACCCGGGCGTGACAAGACACAATAAAATTGCTGATATTACAATAAAACCACTTGTATGATCTTGGCTGTTAGTGCCTATCTACATAAAGCACAAAGGAAATACTTAACTAATTATATTAGGGCGCACCTACCTTCTCGTTCAATTTAAGATTATTGTTCTCGTTATCGTCATTTAATAGTCCTAATCTTTTCTTGTCCTGTAAAATCAACAGTTTTTGCTCTTGTAAAAATTGCGTGATGTCTGCTGACATACTTATTAAAGAAACATAAAAACGTCCATAAATAATATTATATAAATTAAAAATATAAAATAGTAAATTTAAAACATAAAATTAATTCAACTTCACTTCAAATAAAACGTGCGTATACTTTCAAATAAAAAAGTTTTAAATTGTTTGTAAACTTATGAGAGTTAAATGACAACTTCAATTTTGAAAACTTGTTAACTGTCACAAGTCAGTGCTGTAAATTACTATTTGTGTCTCCTTCTAGATTGTAAATTACTACATTCCTTCTTTCTCATAATTATAATTGGTGATTCTGTTTGGTGTAACCACAAATTTAAAATAAATGAAAATATGAAAAGTTCGTTACTTCAGATTTTCTTTGAATTTATTTAATTCACATTGTCTTGTAAAAAGAAGTCATTTCTATTTTGTTTTGATGATATATATTTGTTTTGATTGAAACATGCTTGCATATTATTGTTTCAAAACCATATGTAAGGGCTAGATGGAAACACTATATAGTTTAAATTTACGCGAAATTTCGCGAGACTTAATTATGAAGCCCAGTTTTCCAAACGCGTCCAATATTGCCCTACTCTTCTATCCACTTCAGAACTCTGCTTTCCTTTTCCCAATTGTCTTTTGTGTCGAAGAAAGATATATTTCTTCGACATATATTTCTTACATACATTTTTTTAAATACATACAACAGAATTAATATTATTTTTTCTGGAAAAAAATCGGTAATCTTCGATTGACTTTTTTTAACTAAAATATTAGTCACTTGCTGCTTTTAATTATAATAATTAGAAAAATGGAAATTAGATTGGCCACTATTACAAACAGTTAGCACTTGCCAATTGGATGGAATTTCCAAGAAATCGGAAAAATCTTCGTCTTCTGTCTCATCTGTGGCTTCAATATTGAGTTGGGTGGATTAATTGTTTGGCTGATGATTACCGCTTGTGCCGATAGCGTTTGAAGACACTCAGAGGCGGCTCGTGGCCTAAAAAAGGGGTGAAGATGGGGAAAGCTTGCCGGAGCCAAAAGGAATTTTGGTACCTACTTCGCGCCCAAATCTAATTAAAAAAATCGTTAAAAAATGTATAGAGTTTAGAGCCCTAATAACTCGAAAACAGTTTTTTATTGCACTTATACTAGATACGATTCGTTCTGTTGCTTGGGGTATTTTAGTTCTGAACCTTGACATTTCATTGAGGGTTTTTTTGGCAAATAAAACACCATGCCTGCTAAAACGGGTTGGTAAGTTTCGATTCAGTCGCCCCCTCTGGGTCAGATGCTGATTGCAGCCGACCACTCTGGATCAGGCGCAGATGATTAAAATACTGGTTGGTCGACCATGTAAAAGAACATCCCTTTTATCTTCATTTTTCTAATGCCTAAACGGAGTCTCTAATATATTACACACCAGGTCATTAACTGGATTAATGTCTGTCTAAAATTATTTTTGTCCAAAAGAAACCCACGAGAACATTTTATATCCGAAATCTGAAACAAACCACGGAGAAATGTATTAATAAAGTGCACTAAATAAATAAACTTAATCCTGTGACTAAACTAAACTAATAAATACTATACTATATAAAAATATCTATATAATAGACTAAATTTCAAAATATTATCGCTGAGAGAAATTTCCGGAAAATAGTAATACCAAATACACATCTAACAGTGGGTGAAGACGGATAATATATTTTTTGGCGGACCTACACTCGACAGTTTTCTCAGCTATCACTAAGCATAGGCTGACGTCACGTTGCCATGGCAACCATGAACGCTTATGCAGATGGATTTCGCATTTCAAAAACGATATTCACCTATTTCTGAATCCTACACGGCTAGTAACACAGGTCAGGACTTGACCGTCAAATACCTAACGCTAATAAAGGTAGTTCTTTTTTAATTTTTAGATTAATTATAAAAGAGAATAAATAATTGACTTCAGAATTCAGATATAATAAATTTGCTTTAATGTTTTATTTATTTGTCTCAATTTAATTATATTTTTTTGGTGAACCTCACCTTTACCTACTTCACCTGGCCGGCTGTCACTGAAGACACTCGCATCAAGAGATGAGCATTGTTGGAAAAACATCGATGGTTACCGTCGATTCAACATCGGAACTGTACCATCGATGGCAATAGGTACATCAAAAGTAGCCATTTAAAAGCGAGATTATTTAACAGTTTGTGTTCTGCTATGGATTCTAAGCATACGCAGCTATTGCTGCATACAGAAGTAAGATGGTTATCTCATGGACGTGTTCTTGAAAGATTTTATAAACTTAAAGAGGAGCTGTTAGTATTTCTTACTTGTGAACAGTCTGAATACAATTACATTAGTGATGACACCTGATGCACAAAAGTTGCGTTTTTGGCAGATATTTTTGAGAAATTGCATGTTTTAAACAAGAGCAGGGAAAGCAAGGAAACATCCTCAAATCTACTGATAAAATCAGTTCCTTCCAGCAAAAGCTGTTACTGTGTATAAATAAAGTTGAAAATCAAGCCACGTGGGACATGTTTCAGTTAACAAACAATTGCAATATAGAACCAAATCTATCAGAGCTTTTTTTGAAAAGTCTTAGTAAGCTGAATGACAATAAAAAAGTATATTCCCTTCCTCGATACGTCATCAATGGACTGGGTGCGAAATCCATACATCGAGTCGGCTTATGACACAGCCTTGTTCACAATTGATGAAGACGGTGAACTAATAGATATAAAAACGATCTTAAACATAAGTGCAGTATACTAGTTGAAGAAGCAGAGGCTCAGTCAGAATTCAAGAAAATCAAATTTAATGTAGATGTTGCATCATTTTGGATTCCCCTCTTTAATGAATATCCACTGGTCACAAAGAAAGCTATGAATGCAATAATACCGTTTTAAACTTCTTATAGCTGTGAATCTGCTTTCGCGTCGATGAACGCCATCAAGAACAAAAATTGTTCATAGCTAAAATCTTTAGAGGACGTCTTGAGTGTGTGCTTGTCTACAATATGCCCTTCTTCTTATGGTGCCCATCTGTTACGGATATTGGACATTAACATGGCTATTCTGACTTTGTTGACTGCTGCCCTGAAAAGTCCGGTAGTGGTTAAGTTAAACCATTTTCGCAGGTTATGCAGCCAGGATATTCTTCGTCCTGGACCTCTTTTCCCATGCACTTTACCTTGAAGTATGGTCCGAAGTAGGTCATATCGTTGTTCATTGCGTATTATATGGCCCAGGTATTCCAGTTACGACTAGTTCCGCTCTTTACCCATTTTATGTAGTACTTCTTCATTGGGAACTCTGTCTATCCAGGGAATCCTCAATATGCATCTATAGCACCACATCTCAAATGCTTTGAGTCTCTTCAGTGATGCTTCAGTTAAGGTCCATGACTCCACGCCATATAAAAGAACGGAGAATACATAGCATTTTAGTAAACGAACTTTTATTTCCAATTTTATATCGTGGCTGTTAAAGATTTTTTTCATTTTGACGAAAGCTGATCTTGCCTTTTCGATCCTTATATTAATTTCCGTCGATTGGTCCCACTGTTCATTTAAGTTTGCACCCAGATAACAAAAGTTGGTGATTTGTGTTATAGGTTGTTGATTAACGAGTAATTGAACAGGTGTATCCTATTTTTGCTTATAACCATTTATTTGATTTTTTTATGTTAAAATCAAGCTTAAACCTGCTATTTACTTCTGCCACTCTGGAGACAAGTGTCCGCAGACAATGGGTGGAATGCATAAAACGTAGTAAATGCTATTGCTTCAGCAAATAGTATCTAGTTTGTAGCATTTTCTTTTACATGAATATTTTTTTATTTTCACATGAATATTTTCATCAATCTTTTACACGAAGTACTTGCTACTGATCTGAACGATCTGCTACTAAACGTAGCGCCAGCCGTAGTGCCATTGTGCGCATCACACCAATCGTATTACAACTAGTTTCTCATGTGGTTTTTCGTATGCTTGTGTTTTGTGAATAATTATTATTAGAATAAGTGAGTAGTGTACTGTAGTAGTATTGTTTGTTAATCTTCTTGAAAATTATCAAATTTTATTTGATAAAAGAATGATCCCAAAAATTAAAGATGAAAAGGAAGCTGCATTGAATAAATTAACTGCTGCCTTTAATGAAATTATCGAAGAAACCCTGGATTTTAACACAAATTATGAAGAAATTCAACAACATGAAAACAAAGGTTAAAAAAATTGTTGACGTAAAAAAAACTGGAAATAAAAGAATCGTACTAACTGACTGGCAAAGAAAATTCTATGAGTTATGGAACATTGGAGAAAATCCAGTCTTGCGCAGAGTACCAGGTGCTTGCCAGGCCGGTGTAACAGAGAAGATTGGGGTTTCATAAAAAAAATGATGAAAACGTTATTTTTAGCTCCAATTCTGATTGCCAAAAACTAACAGGCAGAGCTCCCAAATATCCTAATGCGAAGAAGGAGTCGCTGATTGAACTACAAAAAACCTGCTTACAAAAACAAGTTGAAGCAGCCGAAGCTCAAATTTATTGTGCTCGAGCTGAACAGTCTTCGGCAGAAGCTCAGGAACGAGCCGCGAATGCATTGATAAAGTTTGGTGAAGCCGGTGGGCAATTAGTCAACCATATTGTGCAAACTTGTCCAAACTAAACTTGTAACCAAAATTGTACAAACATTACACTAAAAACAAGGACAAACAGTTTAAAACTTGTTTTTAGTGTAGTGTTTGTACAATTTTATGTTATCATTCATATTCATGACATTCTACGTTTGCCGGATAGCCCATATTTGATGAAATACTCCTAAAGATGCTATATTAAGCGAAAGTACTTGGACAAGATTTAATTATACTTGTGCTCGATATAATTGCCTTGATTTTCAAAGTTCATTTATTCGAGCATTCAACCTCATATCAATTAAAAATAAATGAGTTAATATGGGGGTAACACTTATTCCAGCGCACTGTATGAATAAAACTGCACGATTCATGATAATTACCTGAATATTTTAAGATAAATATCGTCATTGTATATTCTTCCTGGTTTGTAGATTTTTCTACTACGAACATTCATACATGCTGCCATTTTTTAACAAAAAACACCTACGCCGAAGTCGTTTATCCACCAACTTCACCTAAACTGAAGCAAATTCTACTAAACTAGTAAATACTTCGAAAGCGTAGTACATCCTTCTATGTATCTGGTAAATAGTAGTAAATATTAAGGAGGAAAGCAAATTGCTTTGTAAGTATAGCAAGTACTACAAAAATGTAGAATTACTTGGAAGCATTAGCAGATACTACGTTTTATGCATTCCACCCATTATGTCCTAGAAAGGATTTAATAATGAAGGGTCACCCAGCAAAAATATTGCATTAAATATGGTGTCACTATTTTTATAGACTGACATTCTGTTTTATACTCCATTATTTTTTATTATTAACTTGTCCCTGTTAACACAAATATATGTTTGTAAGTGCATTAAAATTTTATTTTCTTAATTTTCCTAATTAGTTTGTTATATTTTGTTTGTTTTTTTATGTTTTAAATTATATTTTTAAAGAAAGTAACATAGTAAAAAAATCTCACATAACAATACAATACGATTATGTATACTGATTATAGAGATTATTTACCCAAGTGTGCCGTGGCTGTACGAGTTTTTAAATTAGTATGCCTCAAAATAAAAAAGGTTGAAAACCGCTGAATTATATGAATGATCATATAAACTTACCAAATCCAAAGTAAGATAACTAGGTAAAATAAAGGATGAAGATCATTAAGGAAAATAAAAAATCAAAATAAATTAAGTAATTTATATAAACTAAGTTATCGAGAATAAAAACAAAAAATCTATACATGTGTATTTTCTGGAGGAGGTGCCATGCAGTTGCCAGTGGGATACCTCTTTCTAAAATTTTCAATCAAAACTGGATCAACTAGTCGAATTCCGTCTACTTGATTTCCTAAGGTTATCCAATTGGGTTGGATATTGTGCGGTCTGCCAAACAATTCTATTTTCTTTGTTCCAGGAGACAATCGTTCTATCATTCCTAAAAATAATTTGGTACTATGAACTTTTTGTTTTAAAAGTATTTAACTGTATTAGCAGAAAACATAGAACAAATCACCTGAACAATATATTTAGGTGTAGAGAAAAGATGAAAAATGTTTAGAAACATTTTTTATTAAAAGCAGTACTGAAGATGGAATATTTATTCCGAAAAAGTTCTGTGATTTAGACCGAAAGGATTCTTTTAATCAATATACCTTTTATAAGGGGTTTTTTAGCACCTTGGGCTATAAGGAGACCGACCGAATTTTTGTCGAAATATAAATTAATTTACCGTAAATTTCATCTGGTTTGTGACTTGTTGCTCTAACTTCGGCAACGATGACATCAGAATCTAAGCCTCTATTTAAATTTGGAGGATTGCCCTTCATACCTACTAGACAATGTTCCTTGCCATGATTCAACCAATGGCCCGTTCTACCCGTTCGTATAATACGCTGTAACTGATTAGTTTTCACCCATATGATTTCATCCACCTAAAATATTAAGATCAGTTTAAGAAATGGTGATGCGTTGAATAAATCGTATCTATACTTCATCTAATTTACATACCGATGCACGTCATTATCTACGTCAGAGATAGAAGTTGACATAGTTGCCAAAGTATAAAAAATCCTGAATTCATTTTAAAATCAAATAGACCACATAATTATTGTAAAAGTATTACCATTTCTTTACAATGGTTATTTAAATTCTTACGTGACATTTTTGAAATAAACTACACTAATTTTGTTCTCAAAAGAACATATTTTATTAAATAGGTAAAAATATAAAACAAGAGGTATTCACTTTAAAATTCAAAATAATAAAGTACAAAAAATGTCAACACCGCAACTGTCAAATAAGTGTTACCAATTTATGCCAAAATTTCACCTTCGTTCGATTACAGTTACAGACTGTTCCGAACAAATGTTCTTCATAAAAACGCTTTATAATGCGTTTATACAAATAAAATGAAACATATTATTGTGTATTTCTTTAAGTTAACATTAATAGAAATTTTTAAATATTATTTCTACGCGTATATAATCAAATATGTCTAGTGGCTGTAATGCCAGTGTACTCGGCAAAGTGATTCTAAAAAAGAACACACCTACCGCCTAAATATTTCGTGTTGAAATGGGGCTATGACGCCGATGACGTACATCGGTATGTAAATTAGATGAAGTGTATAGTATTCAGGGAAATTTATTAGTGAATAATTTTAAATTTTTGAGTACTAGCTACCACTTGCGGGTGGATAACATTTGCACTAGATTATATTTTATTTTGTAGTATTCAATAAAATTCTTTTCACACGATGGAATACTTGTTTTTTTTTCACTTTGTATCTGCCAAAAGTCTTCAGGGTTTTTGACAGATCTGCTTAATATATTTTCCACCTAAACCTGATGGACTTGTTATTTGGTGCTGGTACACCCAGGGCTCTTTCATCAAGACGACTTCAAACCTTTTCATATCAGCAGTAATTCCACATGTGAATGTGGTCGTTGAGACTCGCTGGAGACAAAAACTGAGTTAGCGACCGGAATGGCCTCGTACCTCTTCCTTGTATAACCAAACAAGCATTCTTCTTCTTAGGGTGCTTGTCCGTTCCGAACGTTTTCGATCATTTTGGCTACCAAACAAGCATAATAAAAGAGATAGAAGCACAAAAGCTTAGGTGGGTATTACATGTGTAGAGATTACATGACGGAGAACTCATCTAACGGATATGGGAGGAAAATCCAGTCGTAAAGAGATACTTAGGTAAGCCTGTACTCAGATCTAGAGATAACATCTTAAAATATCTAATGCCATGGGAAGAAAAGATTAAAAGAAATATATGATGAACAGAGATAGATCATCATCACTGGCTCGACAACCCTTTTTGGGTCTTGGCCTGTTCAAGGATTCTTCTCCATTCTGACCTGTTTCGTGCTTTTTTTTCCAGTTTTTAATTTTTAATGTTGTTATATCATTTTCTATTTGTTCTACGTATCTCAGCTTCGGTCTTCCTCTTGTTCTTTTTCCTACTGGCACTTGTTTGAATATTTTGTTTGGTATTTCGTCTTCTTCCATTCTTTCCACATGTCCAATCCAACGTAGCCTTCCTATTTTAATAAATGTTATGATATCCGGATCCTGGTATATGTTGTATAGTTCAAAGTTATACCTTCTCCGCCAAATCCCGTTTTCTTTTGTGCCCTTATATATGTGTCGCAAGATTTTTCTTTCAAAGGTGGCTAATAACGTTTCCTCCCTTTTAGAGAGTGTCCAGGTTTCTGAACCGTATGTGAGTACCGGTCTTATTAAGGTTTTGTATATTTGGCATTTTGTTTTTCTGGAGACGTTATCTGATCTTAGTTGCCTAATTAAGCCATGGTAACTTTTATTGGCAATAAATATTCTCCTCTTCACTTCCTCTGCAACGTTGTTATCAGACGTAACTAGGGATCCTAAGTATGTAAAGTTTTTTACCGCCTCAATGTTGTATTCTCCTATTGTTAAATTTGGCAGCTGCCTTATTTGTGCGTTTTTATTTGCAGGCATATATTTTGTTTTTGTCTGATTGATTTTAAGACCACTATTTTTTGCAGCTCGTTCTATTTGAGTGAATGCCTCTATCATTTCTCTTCTTGATCTTGCGATTATATCAACATCATCTGCAAATGCTAGTACTTGCACGCTTTTATTAATTATTGTTCCTCGGGTATTAACTGTTGTGTCTCTTATTATTTTTTCAAGTATGATGTTGAATAATATGCATGATAGAGCGTCTCCCTGGCGTAGTCCCTTCTTCACATCTATTGTTTCCGTTAATTCGTTTTGTATCCGGATTTTACTTTCTACTTTTAGTGTTTCTTTTATCAATTCTTTTAGCTGTGTTGGTATATTAAATTCTTTCATTGCTTTTGTTAGGAATTCTCGGTTTATATTGTCATATGCGCTTTCGAAGTCTATGAAGAGATGATGTGTGTCGATGTTATATTCACTTGTTTTTTCAAGGATCTGTCGCAGAACAAATATCTGGTCTATTGTTGACTTCTGTCTACAGAAGCCACATTGGTATTTGCCAACTATTTTTTCAGCGTATGGTCTTAGTCTTTCATACATTACGTTGGACATTATTTTGTATTTTTTTTTTAAACTTTGATGGTACACAAGGCAAATATAGAACACAGTATTTAATTAAATCTTGCCCAAGTACTTTCGATCACAAGATCATCCTCAGGGGCATTTCGTCAATTGTGGCCTATCCAGCAATAATGGAATGTCATACATGTAAACTGGGACATAACAAATACACTAAAGACAAACAAACACTTTAAAATTTAAATTGGAGAAGCTACATTTTTATATTATAGAAGCCGGAGACAGAATGATTTTGTATGCCGCATTCAACAGCGTGATTCCACGGTAGTTTTCACATTCTAACTGGTTTCCTTTTTTATGTAGTGGTACAATAATGCCGCTATTCCACTCCTTTAGTAGCTGTTTATTCAACCATATCTTTCTTATCAGCTCATGTATGGCTTTAAGTAATGCGTCTCCTCCTTCTTTCAGTAGCTCCGATCCCGGTGATTTATTGTTCTTTAATTTGTCCACTGCTGTTCTAATCTCTGCTATTATTGGTGGACTCTCTTCTCTGTTGTCTGCTTGGTCTAATGGTATATCAGGGTTCATCTCCGTCCTATTCACCCCAAGCTTTTCCTTAAAATGTTCTGTCCATCTTCTAAGTATGAAGAAGATATATTACCTCGTCAATATATTACCCTCCTTATCTTTACACATCGTTGTTCTCGGTTTGAACTCTTTTCTGCTTTTGTTGAGTTTCTGGTAAAATTTTCTTGTCTCTGTTGGTTTACTTAGTTCTTGTAGTTCTTGAAGTTCTTTGTTGATATATTCTCTCTTCTTTCTTCGGTGAATTTTCTTTTCTTCTTTACGTAGTTGTTTATATTCTTCCTCTGCTTGTCGGGTTCTGTGCCTCTGTTGCATCTGTAGATATGCTCTGTTTTTTCTTTCTGTTATAGTTTGACATTCTTCGTCAAACCAGTGTTTCGTTCTTGTTCTTCTTTCTTTACCTTCCATGCCCAACACCTCTTTAGCTGTTTCTTTTATGATTTCTCTGCACTCTTCCCACTCCTCATTTAGGTTTTCATGTTTTAGTCTGTTTTCTAGTTTGATGCTTATATTTTCTTTGTACTCTCTATTTTTGTTTGTTTCTTTGAGTCCTATATTGTATCGTTCATGTTTAGAGCCTCTTTCCTTTTTGATGTTTGAGATTCTAGCCCTTATCCTACTTTCGACTAGGTAGTGATCAGAATCCGCATTTGCCCCTCTTCTGGTACGGACGTTTATTATATTCGATTGGTGTCTTGAGTCTACAATAACATGATCTATCATATTCACTGTAAGTCCGTCTGGTGATTTCCAGGTGCCTTTGTGTATATCTTTTCGAGCGAAGTATGTGCTGGCAATCACCATGTTAAGTGATCTTGCTAGGTTTACCAATCTAGCAAGATGAACAGAGATAGATGAAGGCAAATCGTACAAGCAGTAACAAGACAGAGAAGAATAGAGAGAGAGTGAGAGAGAGACATACAATGTGTATTATAATTGATGTTAGTTAATTTGATTTTAAAAAATTTGGTGTTAGAAGATGACAAATGCTTCCATGCTAGTTCTTAAAGAAATAACTAGACGAAATTGATAAATGTTGCTTCCTGCGAAATATAGTAGACAGTGCACAACTTACGAAGAAAATTATTTCATTAATCAAATTTCAAAACTATTCTAATGTTCAGAGCGGAAATGTTCAACCAAAAAAAGAGGTGTAGAGAGATCACCAAGAATTTAGGGATATAATGAATATAGAAAGAAAAACAAAACATCACTAGAACTACAGAGTTTGGCAAAGACATGAAAAATTGAGAATATTTTAAAGGTTATCATAAAAGACTTAAAAAAGAGGAAACAACTTTTCAAATTTGAAAATCATGATTTTTATTAGTATGTTGAGACTTCAATGGTATTGAAAGGCTACTAAAATTATATCACGTTTTATTTCTCCTATAAATTGTAGAATTTAATATTTTATTGATCAAAGTCTCATTCCGTAATGTTGCAACCGAATGACATGATACTATGATAAGAAGATAAGATATTGCGCAGAAGTCGTGACGTCATTGGAGTGTTGCACGTTCGAAATGTCAGTTTTTAGTATGTGTCAATAAATAATCTTTAATAAATACTTTGGAGACATCCTTATGTGTACGATTATTGTAATTATTGAACCTCTTAACTTATTTTCGTCTAGTAATTTCATCACAGAATGCATACAAATCCCATTTAACTTTAACGAGAATTCAAATTCTACTCTCCAATGACGGCATGCGCGAACACGACCGATTTTGTGCTACGGGAAGATCCTATCTTGTTATTCATAGTATCATGCCGAATGATATTGATAATTATATGTTATTTTTGTGTTGATGCCACCCTCATGATGTCAACATGTTGATGGCACCCTTATGCTTTCCAGAAAATACAGTCCTAACTAACCTAACCTAACCATTTCTGACAAACTATTACATATCAATACACAACAGCGCATAGATAATTAATTGGTTGTAATTTGTTAGAAAACCAGTTTTTTGCATTCATATAATTATACTATTTAAACTTACCCTCTCATATCCCCACAGCTGTAGACATTCTCTACCTAGCTCCATAGCTCTTCCGGTAACCCATAGAAATATAAGCCCTTCGTCTTGTAATTGTGGTATACCTAATTGTCTCATCTCATCATCTGACATGGTACCATAAGGTAATTCCATGTGAATATCCCATGGAGGATCTGCCATTATCACAGCAAATTTACCTAAACAATTGTAAAGTTTACAGTATTTTAAAAATTACTTCTTTTTAGCTTTCTATCGTCCACTTTTGACCGATAGATTAGAGATTAGATTAGAGGCCGCTCCCAACTCCTTCCATTATTAAAAATTACCTAGTACATATATCCAAAATTGTAATGGTAAGAAAGTTGTTTCCACAAACTATCTTATAAAACTCAAGTTAAAATCACTTTTAACGAGGAAACATGTCAAAAAATATTAAGCCTTGATTATAATTCAAGAATAATAAAAATACTTTTGAAATGTTTTCTCTTGTAAACTACCAGGTATTTTTTCAAGAACTGAAAACATTGATGTTATAAATAATACTATTAGTCCTACTGTCCTACAAAAAAAACATTTTATAGAATAAATTATCACAAGAGATGAAAGTAAAAAGATACTATTATTTTTAAAAAATTGATAAATTTCAACATTTTTTTTTCTAGGCTCCTTTCAGCATTCTTAAGAATAATTGTTCTTTTCAACTCTCGTAGACTAATGTATGTTCTAGTTTTAGCAAAGTAAAGGACAACTTCATAAGACAATTTTTATTTGTGACATAATTTCACCAGCTAATTTATGAAAATTTTACTCCTCTTTGGACAAAGAGTTACCATCATTTTATGGAACTCAGTCTCAAGTTTCAGAGCAACTTCACACAAATCATTTGTATGTAAAAGAGAACCTCTAGAGAGAGCTTGTATCCAGTCAGGTGCCTTATTTATGTCCATACCTGCAGTGAGGTTTTCCAATGAATATTTATTTTTATATTTGTACGCTATAGATCCTGCTATATATTTTAGTGATTCACTAAAATAGAGATTCACAAGACTTCACTAATTTATCAATTTTAATAACGCCCTCTTTTCCTTTTGTTCATCCTCACCTGTAATGTGCTTCATGCATCTCGTCACCACTTTAGAACATCCAAGTTCATGTTCTTGAACTAATCCACAAATTTTTGAAACAGTCAGCTTACAAATTAAATGGCCTTAATAACTAAAGAGATTTTTTACTTAATATATTACCAATTACTCTAAGTCATAGAGCATGTTTCCTCTAGAGCAACAAGGTCTGCTGTTAGCTTCCCGTCTCTGATTCAACATATTAGCTATGGTCTTCACACTTTTATCTCCAAATCGGCTAATCAACATTATGAGATTGATTTCTTTGTTTCATATAACACGTTCCTGAGCCAAATCTTAAACTGTGATAACCTTAGATTTGTGTGAAATAAATGGATAAAATATTTTGATTAAAACAAGATGCCGAATTTTCTGAACTAAAATAAATCAGTGCTGAAGTTTCACAGGATACTGCTGTAGAACTAATATTCTATTTGCTGTTCACCTATACTATATATTGAACCCTTCTAACTGTGGAACTTAGTGAACATGTGTGATGCTTTAATTGCTGCCATTGTGTGACATTTAGGAAGTAGCATAAAATGATTAATTAATATTAGTACTTTCACTAATAAAAACCTTTTTTTTTAATGTAAGAATTTCAATGTTAATATATATTTCTTTGTTTCTTTTCAAGTATGAACTTACCTAATACAGTCATATCCAAATATCTTAAATCACACTGCACCCACTGAGGTGGATATAAAGTTGTACTTTCTACTCTGACAACAGGTCCACTCTGTATACTTGGCAAATCATCTGATGTACCAGCTCTATCAACTTCATAATGTACATATTTACAAGTGTCCATGTGAAAGCAAGTATTAAGAAATGAACAATCCCCTAATGTCTCATCTGTATGCTTTTGGAGAATTTTCTTAAAATGAAGTTTCTTACAATCTGTGGTACCTATTAAAATTAGGGTATATCAGAATTTAGTGATAAGCTAATTTAACAAAGCATACAATTTTTATTACAATTTCAGAGATCTGAGACAAGATTATCTTTCAATAATAATTGAAACAAAACTGCTTTGAATCTTTTGCTAGAACATCAGAGTAAAAACCAACTAATTACTTTATGATACTTCATATTTCTGTGATTCCTTAACTTAAAAATATTATATGCAACATTTTATCGTTTAATAGTAGAGATTAAGACATAAGTAATTTAAATATATACAAACCATTTCTTTCACATTCAGCTCTTGTACCATGAGGACAAAATTCCATCAGTTGCTTTCCCCCTTGAGATTTGAACCTCTCAGTTAACGATCTTTCTTTCGCTGTAGGTTTGCTTAATAAATCTAAAATCTCTTCGCCTAATTTTTTGCTTTCTTTTTCTTTAGTCGAAGGCATAGACAGCAAAGACTAAAATATTAGATTATTAAAAAAATTTAAAAATACATAAAACTGAAATGGTAGAGAAAAAATATCACAAAAATGCAGCAGTAGAAAGCTTATCAAATCAAATATAATAAACAATTACAATAGGTGATGAAAAATGAAGTGAAGACAGAAGAAAAAAGCATGGAAAACCATATTAAAACAGAATATTATGACAGAAAAATATATTAGATAAGAATAGTATGGAAGACATAATATGGAAAACAAAGAACTAAAGCGAATAAGAAGTATGGTATAGAAGAATAACAAAGATAGATAGAAACAGAAAAAATAGTTGGAGATAATGATATTGATCTGGAAATGTAAAATACATAGAAAGAGAAGAGATAAACTAGCTAGGGAAAATATATAAATATGTAAACTGCAAAATTTACAGAGCAATATGTTTGTTATCCGTATGGTTTAAACTTGGGCAAGCGGTGGAAATGCAAATGGGAAAAGGACAAACAGTGTTTAGACCTGAAAGAAGAATGTCAACATATACATTATTAAAAATTTAATATAACAAAATATAGACCCTGAAGGAAATCTTATAGTGACATATGAAAAATTGTTTAAAAATGTATATTATAGTAATAAACAGACAGTACTTTTTGTCATTCCAAACCCCAGCTATGGACTGAAGTATTTTTAGCTGATCCTTTTCTAGCTAGTTGATTAGTTCTTTTATTGTGAAGTATTTCTTGATGATCCGTTGATGAAGTTCAAAAAGCTCTCATGTTAATTTCTCTTGTACAATGCAAGATTGCATAAATCTCTTCCTAATTGGAATAGAAATGCACTTTTTTCCTGTATCTTTGGCCTCAAAACCACTGACACATATGTCTCTACTCTCTTGGTTATTCTTTCTACCTGCTGATTCTAAGTAAGCAGTTACTTGTGTATCATTCAGGCTGAGATGAGGTAATATTCCTCCAAATTTCTCCTCCTATTAAATTTCTGGGTATAAAGTTTAGAAAATTGAAAGAGCAATGGGTTAAAAAAAAACCAAGTAGGTAATGAAAAGATCTGCAGTAACTAAAGAAATTATTCATATATGTGTCAACCATTTGGAATAAGTTGCAGAAATCTAACAGATAGCACACTACAAACAAAAAAATTAAACTGTACAGCTAAGAAATACACTAAAATGATTCAAATTTTATTATTATAAAAAAATTACCAAAATATCAGACTTGGGTTCTTTCTTTTCTTTCTTCCTTTTATCATCATCTAATTCTGAATTCTTCTCAGGGGAGTCTTCCCTTTTCCTCTTTAAATCCTCTTTTTGTATATCATTTTTTCCTTCAGAACCATCCAAAATCATGGCATTCACTTTTGAAACTTCCACATGAGTGACTTCAAAGACATTTACACCATCCTTGGGACAAGATTTTCCTGTGATTAACTTCTGAATGGCAAACTTCTCTAGTAGGTTGCATATTTTTCTATGAGTGCTGTCACTACAAATAACACATTTAGTAATATTACAAGCATAACAATTTTATAAAAACATGATATTGTTACAAACCATTTCCTTAATTCTTAAATCATTTGTTATACCATCTTTTTGTCACAGTTAGCTCATATTGTGATGAATATTCTATCATAACCTACAGGATTCTATATGAAATGTTTTTATTTACAGAAGAATTTTTATCTATATACACTTTCTTCATCCCAGAGATACATAAACATTTATTTAATTTAGCATTGTTTAGAATTTCCTCAAAGACCTGAGAAGGTTTATACTATACTATTTATAAAATAAACTAAACATGCCAATATTCATTCATAATTCTAAAAATATGTACAAATGTATATTTACCTATCTGCATATAGTTTAAGAGAAGTTAATATTTCTGAAGATACAACTGGTAGCTGAAGAGTTACTTCACTTAATTGTCTCAGCAAGTCTCTTTCTAATTCTGGGTCTAGTTTAACTAAATCTTCTTTTTCCTCGACTTTTATTTCTTTTTTCACTATGACTGTTGTGTGGGAGTTAAATGTTGCTGCAGAAGAATCTATAATACCAGCAGGTGATGTAGAACCTGTAAATAAAAAAATGAGACATAAACTTTTTCACCAATTTACTATGGTTTGATTGACCGAACTTCAGCTTCTAACTGGCATCTTAATTTTGAATATTCACATTCAAGGCAATCTTTTAATTTGAAACAAGAGATCCAATTAACTGCTCTCACATATATTTCTTTATTCTAATTATTAGTGTTGTAAATTTTGAAGCACTGAATCTTTGGACTTCCATAAAATCTGTCTCATCATAATTTTTTACCTTACATGATAAGCCACACAATACACGCAGTAAATCACGCATTAAATATCGCAGGCAGTACAATTGATTTATTTTTGTTAAAAAATGTCTTTACCTAAACTTGAGCCAAGTAATTCCTGCCGTGCCTTTTTTCTCTTTTCTAATCGCTCTCTTAAACTATTTCGTTTACTCTTAATAGCTTGAATTTCTTCCCAAGCATCGGTTGACATTTTTATTCAGAAAAAGTGAATTTTAGAAAAAGAAGCATACAATAATGGTATGTAAATAATATAATAACACAAATATTATGGTTTTATGGTTTCATCATAAAATACCAATTAAGGTTAGTTAAATCTTCTTTTTGTGTATGATCATTTATATGGGTCTCGTCACAGACAACTAGGTGATCTGTGGGTCTTGTCATTTGACAGTTTTAGCATGTTGGTAACAAACAATGTAACGAAGCCAAGGTCGTTTTTATTTGTGCACCCTTCCGTTTGGTGACACTGCCAGTCTCGTTTCTGCGTAGAGTCAAAGCAGTTAAAGTCTTCTTCCCTATTACGAAGAAAACGACGGCATATTTTTATTTGTTTTGTTTTTCATAAATACATAGTGCAAATAGGTACAATTTTCGACAATTTTTAATTATTCGCGTTCTCAAACGACTATAGGTGACAGCACTTGTTTGTTGACATTGTAAATTTGATAGTGAATTACCAGAGATATGTAAAAGAGATCTCTTACATATCTCTGGGAATTACTTATCTTTTGATTACTTTTCTTCTTATCACTCAATATTTTTAAAATTTGATTAAATTTATACCGGTTTTAAAGTCTAACTTATTCGAATTTTTGACATTTACCCCCATTTTATTAGTTATCTATTCTGGCAGCACGGTCGTTTGATAACACAAATAGAAATAGAATCGAACACAATTACATGGAATGACCAACAAAGAATATAGACTTCTATATTCTTTGATACTTCGTAGTTCTCTGACTATACTGTGGTCAGAGTTCGTAGTTCTCTGGTGCTGTGGCCACAGTATATTCAAAGAATATAGACGCATATATGCGTCTACAGTCTTTGGAATAACAATGGAAACATGTAGAACAAGAACAAAAAAGATGTGTTCCAGATTGCCACATTAATAGAACAGCCGTACGAGTTTGTTTTTGCCACGACCAAATGAAAAGACCAAGACCAGGCTTGTATTCAGATAAAACTTGACATTAGAATAACAAAATAATTATTTAAATACTGACAAGCTCTTGCCATAACATTAAGAACATTAAATTATAAACATTATACTGCACTTTGCTTTATTATTAATATTTCTTGTAACATTTTTATAAATAAAGATTGTATTCTATATTTCATTCTTTAATTTTTTTAACCACTTTGGAATTTTATTCCATTGTATGACAATTTTAATGCAATGGAAAATAAAAATAACCTCAACATAAGGAAACCCAAATAGTATACGAAAATATATAAATATTATCATATGGAGTATTTTTTTTTTTTTGTTATTTTAGGGTTATATTGATTTTCCATTACTTTAAAACGAGTTTACAGTCATAGATAATTCTATGTGACTTTTGAATTTACCGCCATGTATATATATATATAGTTATGCACCCTAGCACTAAGCGATTCACCAATCGTCGTTTTACTTGTCAACACGAGACTGGCACTGCTAGGTACGAGTGTGCTGTGGTTTTAGATTTTAAAATAAATATCATAACAAACAATACTTACCATTTTTTACATAATAATCATAATGAAAAAACAAAGAAATACAGAAGCAGAAGAACGAAATCCTTGTTTAAAGGAACAAGATCTAACATTTAAATGTTTTCATGATCACAGCTTCGACAAGGAAGCTTGCGAAACAGCAATTGATAATTACAAACTTTGCAAATCTTTTTGGGTTAGTAATATAGACACTACAATTAGAATATCGCACCTCCAGAAAAATGAATCGTAACTTCAAAATCAACAATAGTCTTGCATGTAACAGGCGACAGTTTTTAGCAATTTTGAAAAATTTATTAAGGTCATATTCATTATTATTGAATGTAGTAATGTATTGTAAATTGACTTCTGTAGCATGTATGTGCAAAAGCTACAAAAATAATGAAGAAGTGCCAATAGTTAAATATTGCCAATATTCTTCTGGGAGTGCGATATTAGATAAAGAATGTTACATCCTTACAACAAATCATGTTTAAATATATTATTTTTAAATTCCAGTTTGCAGTTCAAAAAGATAGAAGAAAACAAGGAATTAGACCTGTAATGCCACCTTTATCTGAAAGAGACAACATAAAACGCGATTTTTTTTCTAAATTTCAACAACAGCAATAAGTTCGATATATTTTAAATGGGGGTCAATATTTTTGTACATAAGTGAATATTTTGTTTTTAAAGCAAAAAGTTGTTTTTGTTCTACATATTGTTTTGTACATAGTTTCTGTTATTTTATCAACAATATATATATCAACAATAACCATATTGTTATAAAGTATAATTGTACAATAGAAAATAATATTTTAACAGTTAGAGCAGTTTAAGTTATTCCACTTATTTCCCAATGTTATTACATAATGATACTTGCTTTTCTCTGTAGAACTACTACTATTACTCCAAGCATATCATTTTGTGTGAAAGATATGGCATGGAAACACGTCCATCTGCCACAGAATGTTTTATTTATGTTTAAAGATATTTTTTTAGTTCTTGTTCGTTACTTTGTTTTTAGGTATATGTATAAATCACTGAAGTTATACTAATTTATATTTCTACTTTTACGTCTTTAATAAAATTTTTTAGCAATTCTAAGGTTTCTCTATTAGCAGTTGCCAAAATGTGTGATAGATTTAACCAAAGCAAATATTTCATTTCAATAAGAGTTTGAATTAATTTATTAGATTTTTCTAAATATTTGTTGCATCCAAAGAAAATATGGTTAAGATCTCCTTAAGAACAAATATCACAACTGCAGGATGGTGCAGGTAATATTTCAATTAATTGAATATGACTGGAATAAACCATGATTCGTTTTTTAAGCGAAATACACTTAATACTAGCCTAGAAAAATTTGGTAGTCAAGTAATTAAATATGTATTGGCGTGGGAGTGGTAAAGTGGGGTATATCTGGAAATATGTATTTTGAGAGTTTTCAACAATATTCTCCTGTTGCTGCACCATTTCAGCTTAATTTTATTTTGATGATATACTTCTATACACGCGTTTGATGTAGAAAATTTGTACGGGAGTGATTTTAATTTAGAAGATGTAGCAGCTAATTCTATGGGGACAGAAACTTTCTTTTAGAAACTCGTTTACAAACTTTACTTATTGAAGATAATAGAAATATTATTGATATAAGGTCGAATGGTCTAATAAATGAACTTTGATCAAATGAAAGGCAAATATTGAGCACAGTTTAATTTAATTAATTTAAGATGCTCGATGGAGCGAAAGTACTTGGGCAAGATTAAATTAATTAAACTGTGCTCGATATTTGCCTTTCATTTGATCAAAGAAATATTATTGATGCCGTGCTATGAACTTAAACTTAAGAATGATTAATAAAACAATGTTACGACTTAACTAGTTTTTATTATTATATTTTTACAGTATCTATATATTATTCTTTACCAATCGACATTTCTTACAAAAATTCACACATTCGAATACAAGCCACCTCACTCAATTGATTTAAACAAAAATGTTCTTGAAAAAACACCCATTTGTTGCTCATCCGAGGGACAACACGGTTTCTTTCATCACGCGTTGTCGATCAATAGTCAATCTACTTGTTTCTTGATGGTGAAACAGTTAACTTTGAAATGTCGACACATTTGTCTAACCTGAAAGTAAAAGATTTTTTAGTCTGGGTTTAATATCAAATCAAAAAAAAAAAAGTACCAAAACGTCTAATAGTATCAAATAAAAATGTCCAATGCAAACATTGACATCAGAAGTAATACCATAATTAGTTTTCTTATATACAAAAGATAAATTTTAATATTTTTTTACAAAAAGTCGATTGTTTAAAAATTCAACAAGAAAAAAACTGAGTGATAAAACTTGACAGTAAACTTTTAGTTTAGACAGTTTATTTAGTTCAGTTTGTTCGGGTATTAATTTCTTAAAAGAAACCAAGTTTGAGTATAAAAAAGGAGTTTATACTCCTACAATAACAAACTACTATAAAAAATAGCATTGAAATATTAAGGTCTATATTATACAGTGTGAGGCAAATGTAGGAATGCTTAAATTATTTCAGAGGCAGCTAATAGAAGAAATACGGCAGATAATGACCAACCATGTTATAATTTCGTTATAATTCTTGCTTTTAGTTCTTTGCTAGTATGTGGAGCCATTTTTTGAGGTTGAACAGAATAAGTTCTCTGACAAATTTTAAGATTTGACAGTGATAGTAACAGTATGTAAATAATGAGTATTTATGGTTTAGCTTTTTTAAGCTGTGCAAGTATCAACCAAAAATTACTGAAAACATGATGTATTTATTAATATGTATTTATTTTCAATTTACCTACTCCTTATTCAACATGTAGACTTACCACACAAGTTCCGTAATGTATATGAGCTACGGAAGTAAATATACATAATAAATATAGAAGCATCAACTCCAGATTTGCCCATTGGGTTAAAAGAGACACTGACACTACGAACGACGTAGGGACCAGCAATAAATTAAATGCATCACAGGTTGTATTGCTCATTTGAGCCACGATCAATCGACACTAAAACAAAATAAAAGTATGTTATTTTATATATCTATACCACCATAAGAACAGAATTTTTTTTTATACTACTACACTGCGCTTCATTAAAAAAAAGCCACCTATAATTTTTGACATTTTTCAATTTTTACGAACCCTACAAGAAATTAATTGTCATTAGATGTTTGTGTAATATTTAAGAATATGTTTTAAAGCTGTATGTAACCATTTCTTAAATAACAATAGTCAAAAAATAGTTTTTCCCAAAATTTATTCTGTTTTCTTTATAAAAATTAAAATAAAGTCGTGATTTTTAATATTCTGTATTACTATCTTTATTTTGAATTACACACCTCGTTCGACTTGACATTGAATTGATCAAATTCAGGATGTTGTCTTGAGGAAAACATTCCCATTCTTCCATGAGCGCCAACCAAAGCTGCTCACGATTTATTGGAGCAGGATTTCTGTTTCTTACTATTCGTTTGAGTTGTTCCCAAACATGCTCAATCGGGTTCAAATCTGGGCTTTGAGCCTGCCAGTTCATTTTTGGCACATCGACGTTTCCAGGATAAACCAGGTATTTCGCCGACAAACCCAGCAAAGGCATTATATGCTTGTCTAGAATTTCGGTAATGTATCGGTGAGCTTTCAACGCTCCTCTATCAATGAACACGAGATCAGTACAATTTTCGAACGAAATGCCTCACCAAAACATGTCCAATGCTCGTGATCTCTAGCAAACTCAAGTAGGCGTTGTCAATATGATGCTCTTAATAAAATTCCCTCAACCTTCTCACTGTAAAAGTTTGTAGTGTCCACCCGTTAGCATTTTGAAAACGGTTTTTGATTGCTCTAGCCGTACAGAACCGATTTTGCAAAGAAGTGCGTTGTAAGGACCGGTCTTCTCTGGCTGTCGTGATTCTTCTCGCGCTTGATCCTAGTCGTCGTTCGTGAGATCCAGTCTCTACGAATCGTTGGTATCTTTTTTGGACTGTACAACGACTTACTCCAAGCTGTCTAGCTACTTCTCTTCGACTCATTCCATTATAAATAAAATTAACAATTTAAACAGATCTAGCAAGTCTCTCAGCCATAGTTTTAAATTTAAAAATTTATGAACACTAATGAAAGATTTATGAAAGGCAACATATTACCCTTAACTGACCTGTCGGCACTTAGTGGCGGTGCCTAAAAGTATTTTGCTTTTGGGGGTTTAGTTATAATAAAATTTTAGTTTAAATGGTCTTTGTTACAAACATTTTCTAAATACTTCTAAAATCATCAGAAACACTGCTCAATATCTAAGCTAAAAACAATTTTAAATAACAGATACTTAACAAAAAGCTACATGCATTTGTTGCACCTCCGGATTTGCAAGTCTTATCTCGCATTCTTAACATCACAGCGCGCAAGCGCATCAGCCGAGGTGTGTCTCCGTATTAAAATTGGAGCGAAAGACCAAAGCATTATTTAGAAACTAGTTTTCTATTCTTCGTTTTCATCTTAGTGTCAAATTTATGGAGCCATCTCGTCATAATGACAGCTATCATTTGCGCCTTGTTGTTGGACACCCATTGAAGAGGCAACTTATCGATGTGTACCGTCTTAAAACATCGAGGATTTTTTGCTTTTGCCTTTTATAACTGATTCCATCTTTTCACCTTCCATATTTGTTTCTTCTTCCTCTTCTTCCTTTTAGTATGTAGGCTTTAAAGCCACCATCTTTTTCTTGGTCTGCCAATACTTCTTCGTCCATTTGGTGACTTATCTTGTGCTATTCATACTATTCTATCCTCTGCCATTCTACTGATGTGTTCGTTCCACTCCTGTTTTCGTTTTGTCACCCATCCGTTTATGTCTTCTATATTGCATGTTCCTCTTATGCTTTCGCTTCTCTCCCTATCCAACAGACTTTTCTCTGATATTCGTCGGAGTATTTTCATCTCTGTTGTTTCTAGCAGTCATCTCGTTTAAGATGTGTCAGGTCTTGTCTCCGCCGTGTATGTTAATATAGGTCTAATTGCTGCTTTATAGATTCTTGTTTTTGTGTCTTGTCTTAGGTGTTTGTTCTGCCTGAGGGTTATGAGCGCGATGACTGCGTGGATTGAGTAGCTCAGAAGTCACGTTCATGCCCACAGCCGGTCCCAAGCCCGGATAAAAGAGGAGGGTTGATGGGCCAGGTTAGCATCCTACCCATTGTAAAAGGAAACAAGGCTCAAAGAACCGATATAAAGCCTCGGAACCAGACGGAACCTAAGATGACGAAACAGCAAAAAAGAGGGAAACCTTCCATATTGGCACAGAACAAAATTGTAATTCGTTGTTTTGCAGTATTTTCCAGGCCATTTTTCAATGCATACGTCCTTTTTGGCAACGCACGATAGGGGAGACCCATCTCGTTTGCATTAAATGCATCTTTTGGGACATAGTCCTTTAAAATGGCAAACAGCTTTTATTTCCAACTTTTCACGTTTTCGACATTAAGATGAGCGGATTTGCAACCTATTGTTTTAAAAGTAATATCGTGTCGACGAGAAAATCTTTCTAACCAACCACTTGATATCTTTAAGTCACTCAGACACGTACATTGTGCAACTTCGAGAGCTTTGGTTCAAATTATACGTCCAGATATTGGCAAGTTCATGTTTTGAGCCTTACAAGAGCTTGATCCACAGTAAGTCCTTCGGTTTTAGGAAATTTTCTTTTTTGGTCAGCGTTATCACCCACTTGAAATCAATTTCTGAGATCTTCTTTGTTATGAAGTAATACAAATTTAAATTTTTCGGTCAACTACTTGGTACTTGTGCCACTTTTTCATTTTCGTTAATTGTATCCATTTTTGATAAAGAAGCGTATCATGTTTCCCGCCATACTCATTCTTAAAAACCAGTAATACCACGGTAAAAAAGCTCGACAATGCGCACCAATCGGAAAAAATCTAATCAGTAGGCAACACTAGTTAGCAAGCAGTGTTAGCACATACAAATTTAAAACTGAACTGAGTGTTGAAAACAGATCTTAAAAGCTGCTAATTGTTTAAAGCAATGTCACATTGGATATTTTAGTCTTATTTGTACAGTACCATGGGATTGATTTTCTTCATGTTTTTTGTACACATTTATAATTCCTAAGAATGGTAGATTTTGATTGCTCTTTATCGAGGCTGTTTTTATCATTGATGGGTATTAAGAAGTTCATATGATGGATGTCCGCGATCGTATAAGAGAATTGTCGGTATTAAGAGAGAGAGAGAGAGAGAGAGTATATTTTCGACAAAAAAAAACAACACTAGAAAATTTTCCAGTTTTTCTAGATTTTGAATTGGTGATGAATACCTGGAAACTTGTGAAACTTTTTATAAAACATATAAAATCATTGCACAGGTTTAAATCTTAATTAAATAGTAGTGGGTGATGGGATTTAAGTGTTAATACTTATTATTCCGCCATCATAAAACTCCGAATCGTTTCTCTGGGTGTGCTATTAGAAAATCATAAATATTTTGTGCAAAAACCACGAATAACCAAATTTCCAATATTTTTATTGTTTAACAATAAACACTTGGTCCTTTGGTATAGAATGTCATCCTTGCTAATGAAGCTAAATTCAAATCATGCATGAACTTAAAATACTTACCGAAATATTCGAGAACACCGTCCCCAAAAGGAAAAACAAGGCTCTTGGATCTCTTTCCACAATGTTGCCAGGGGAGTAGAGTATCCACACTAGTGATATTAGAAAGAATGATCCCACAGGCAAGAGTGGTCTAATGGCGTCTGAAAATGGTCTCATCTTGCCAGTTTTGTTCTTGTAAGATATATAAATATTATAAGATATTACAGGTACATTCGATATGAGTGAAGAAATATAGAGAGTCAGCTCAAATATGTTGCCAGCTGTTACACTGCCAAATCGGAATTGCCAGATTTCTGATCCAAATATCTGAAAGGAAGGTACGTAGTTTAGATAATATCGTTACGTTGTTCTGTGTTAAACTTTATTTTACTCAAAAACTAACTTAATTAAAAATATCACAATTACTAATTACTTCTTCTCGTGCCACTCCTAGCGGAGATTGGAAATCATCATGGCCACTGCGACTTTGTTAGCAGCGCGCCTAAAAAGTTCAATCGAACTACACCCGAACCATTCACGTAGATTACGAAGCCACGATATTTTTCTTCTTCCCACACTTCTTTTGCCCTTAATTTTGCCCTGCATGATGTTTCTTAAAAGTTCGTACTTTTCACCTCTCACAATGTGCCCCAAGTATTCCATCTTTCTAGTTTTTATCTCATTTAGAATTTCGCATCTTTTGTCTAAAGTTTGGAGTACTTGCGTGTAAGTGACGAGGTCCATCCATGATATTCTGAGAATGCGCCTATAGCACCACATCTCGAAAGCTTCGATGTTTTTTATGGTCAACTGTTTTAGTGTCCAAGCCTCAACTCCATATAACAGGGTAGAAAAGACATAAAACCGCAGCATTCGTATTCGTAACTTTATATTGATATCACGATTGCAAAAGAGTATGCGCATTCTATTAAAGACTGATCTAGCGATTTCTATTCTACATCTAATCTCTTTTGTTTGATCAGTATCGTCTGTGATCCAAGCACCTAGATATTTATAACAGGGCACATGCTCCATCGTTGTATTGTCTATTACAAGATTAGCTCTGATGTTCTTTGATTTCGTGATTACCATAAATTTAGTTTTTTTCAAATTAATTTTCAAGCCGTAACTGTTACAGTATATATTGAGACTTTGAACGAGATGTTGTAGTTCTACTAGCGTTCCCGTTAGGAGAACTGTATCGTCAGCATACCTTGTATTGTTGATCGTCTCACCATTTATTATCAGACCAAGATCTTCTTCCTCGAGTGCTTGTTCACAGATAGCTTCACTATACAGATTAAATAAAAGTGGCGATAAGATACATCCCTGCCGGACTCCTCGACGGATTTGAATTTCTTCTGTTAGTCTGCCTTCAACCTTGACATTTGCTGTTTGATTCCAATATAGACTGCATATAATTCGAATATCTCGGCTGTCTATATTTTTCTTTATTAGAACTTGTCTTAGTGGTTCATGTTGTACTTTGTCAAAGGCCTTTTCGAAATCAATAAAGCAGGCGTAAATTTCTTGGTTCATGTCTAAGCATCTCTGTGAGAGAACGTTCATTGCAAACAGAGCCTTCCTTGTACCCAGCCCTTTTCTGAATCCCATCTGAGTGTTACTGATGTCTACGTCTAATTTCCTATAGATCCTATTATGGATTATTTTTAAGAACAGTTTTAGAGCATGACTCATCAAAGCTATCGTACGATATTCGTTGCATTCCTTTGTATTTGCCTTTTTTGGCAGTAGTATAAAGGTCGAACGGGGTCATTCCCTAGGTATTATTCCAGTTCTATATATTGTGTTAAATAGATCTAGGAGTATTTTAATAGATTCATCGTCCATAAGTTTGAGCAGTTCTACGGGAATTTCATGAGGACCGGGGGCCTTACCACTTTTTGCTTGTTTGATTGCATATCCTATTTCTTCTCTGATTATATCAGGCCCTGTATCATCTGTATATTCGTTTGAGATTTCTTGTCTATCTTTGACATAAAACAGTTGTGATATGTATGCTGTCCATCGGTTCATTTTTTGTTGTAAATCTGTTATAATTACACCATCTGTATCTTTGTTCTGTCCTGTCTGTGTTGTTCTTCTCCTTCCTGTCATTTCTTTAATCTTTTTGTGTACATTAAAAAAGTCATATTTTCGCTCCAATCGTTTCAACTCCTGGCATTGCTCACTTAGCCATCTTTCTCTAGCTTCTCTTATTTTCTTTTTTATCAGTTTATCTGTTTCTTTGTATCTTATCGGATTATTTGTTTTGTGTACCCTTCTTTCACGCATCAACTGTAGTATTTCCTCATTCATCCATTCTTTATGTTTCCTTTCTTTCGGTGTTAAATTTTCTCTCCTTGCCAACATTACGGCATGTTTAATATTCTCCCATTTTTGGTCTATGTTATCAGTATTTCTATTCAGTTTCTCTATATTTTGTAAATTTTCTTTGATGTTCACTATTGTTCTCTCTTTTATATGTTGTTCATTCAGTCTTCTCGCGTCAATTTGTTTCTGTATGTGTTTTTTAATGATCTTTAGTTTTATTCTTAATGTGACTACTACAACATTGTGATCCGAGCCTATATCTGCTCCTGGGTAGGTTTTAGCTGAGAGTATAGAGTTGCGGAATCTTTGACTAACAAGGACAAAGTCAATTTGGTTTCTGACTACTCTACCTTTGGTGTAACTCGGAGATTTCCATGTGTACAGTCGTCTGTTAGGTAACTTGAAAAGAGTGTTAGCAACTACTAACTCCTCCGCTTGACAAAATTGTACCATACGGTCTCCTCGTTCGTTTCGTTCTCCTAATCCATAGTCACCCACATAACCGTCCACACATCCATGTCCAATTTTGGCATTAAAATCGCCCATTACTACTGTAGTATGATGTTTCTTCATTGATTTTAGAATTTTGTTCCAGATCGTAATAGAAACTTTCAATTTCATCATCATCTTTATCAGCCGTAGGAGCATATACTTGTATAATATCTATAATTTGTTTATTTGACTGAAGTTGTAGTGTCATTATTCTATCAGAGAAGGGAGTAAAGCTTGTTACACAGTTACTGATTTTTTTTTGATACCAAGACAGCGACACCGTAACGATGAGTTGAACTGATGGTGCCTGAATAATAAAGTGTTCCACTGTTATTCGTGCATTTTCCTGATCCTGGCCACTGTACATCATTTATACCTAAGACATCAATTTTAAGGTTTTCCATTTCAAGGGCTACGTTATTTAATTTACCTGCTGCAAAGAGGCTTCTTACATTCCACGTCGCTATTCTTAATATCTTAAGGTGATTGATATTACTTACACAGGGATTTCGCTGGTTCACGACCTGAGAGGCCCTATGGTCTGTCTGTGGTTTTCCTTTCCTGCCAGATCTTGGGTTCCGAGGTCCATGATCAGTAACATGAGTGATTGATATGCCATTTGCCATCATGATTACTAATTACATTAACCCATTAATGCGCAAAATGAAATTTTTACCAAAACGAAATCAAAACTTCAGTATGAAATAAAGAGAGGTTGTTTTTAATAGCAATGTGTAAAATTTACGTTTTTTTTCTTTGTAACTGTCTTGACGTAGGATATATCAGACGCTGGGCAATGAAGGCCACAGTAAAGAAGTCACATGTTGACTATTGCCCCATTCAAGCAAAATCTAAATATCGCCCAATATCATTTTTTAGATGGAATTCGAATCCCATATAAACCTCTACACCACCTATTCCCTTGTTATACATTTGCAAAACGTTTGGTTGAGGTACCGCTATAATTTTTCTGTCTTTTCTGGACCATCTGTTAACAGTTTCGTATAGTAAATATTTCTGGAGTTGAAATATTAGTTGCCATAGTAACTTCATTATTGTCATTCCAGCGAACAAGATTGAGCTGATGTTCTTCGCTAAGTAGAGCATGGGAAGTTCCACGAAGACAAGATTGCATATAAATATAGTTTATCCATACATAAATTCTCATTTATTTCAATCGATTATATCTACCTATTTATCTTATCACAATATTTTATTAAAAACTTACCCCGGCTATAAGGAATGTTATTATTGTCCCCCACATAGAGAAATCATATCCCCAGGGTAAGAACATCACCCCAGTATTGTACTTTTCGAAATGTGTCATATAAAAATTCATCATCACATTCCACATGGTAAAAAACATTCTAAAAGGAACTAAACTATATCTTTCGCCACGACCGAAAATGGAGTACATGGCTGCAGGAATTAGGCCAGCTGTGTAGGAGTCTAAACCATGGTCGAATAATTCGCCTAGAGGACCACTGGTACCCGTTCTCCTAGCTTGCTTTCCATCTATACCATCTACAACAAAATGCAGTATCGAGATTAGAACACTATAAGAAAATTATCATAAAGTGAAATAAATAATGGTACATAAAGTGGGACTCAGTTTATAAGATTTATATTTCCTAAGTAATTTACACTATACATAAAAATGTAGATAAAATAAAAAAAAAACAAAGGATAACGCACACATCTTATTGACAATGTAATGTCACTCAAATGCAATAAAATTTACATGAATAGATTTGTCTCGAAATTACAATCATTTCATATCATTGCGCCAACTCTGAATCTTGATTAATAACGACGCAAATTGTAATTAAAGTTTATGGAAATCACATTTTTGGAGTCCATAAATCTTTCATTCATACATACTATTAGTCTAATCGCTATTAAACACAGCTTAACCCAAAATGAGCTAAGCCGATTAGAGGAACTATGTACTTTGGTAATGGTATTTTGCCTTAATCCCTGCAGAAATGTTTATGAACTGACGATTAACAAAATCTCTTTTCTCACTCATAAGTCAGGTACATATACAGGATGTTTCAAAAAAAGGTAAGCCCGTCTCTAGGGTAGGTAAAAAACTGAAAAATAATTGGGGTTTACTTAGTAAAAATTTTTTGTAACGCCATCAGTTTTCAAGATACAGGGCGTTGAAGAAAAAAAATACGATACGGTAAATAAAAAAATTTACGCATTTGTTACGATTTTGCCGAAACTACTGGCAACATTGTAATGAAATTTTATACGAATATGTTTTGGAAGCTGATACATCCCATGAATTTGTTTTTATATCTGATTCTCATAGAGGGCGCTAGTTACACGGATCGTACTAAATATTAGTCAATATAACTTTTTTAAGAGTATAATTATTAATCAAAATTTCAAGTAAACTTAAACATTATTCAATTTTACACGAAAAAGGTACTCTTGGTAAAACTCGATACTGTGTACCGTCTTCGGAATATTTTGATTTGAAAATTCTGAAGTAATAATTGATGCTGGTAGTAATGATAAAGTTCTAATAGGAATACCTCTATTTTCTCCAAATGTGCCATGGAAATCTGACATTTATTGATTGTTATGACGATAAATCAACAATAATTAGAGTTTTGAAACCTTGTTATTTGTAAAATCAAATCAACATGTACTCAAATGTTGAATACACTGACATGTTATTAACCTTAGGCGAATGTTTAGGATGTTCTAGTGCAGCTGTGACACGTTACGCAGAAAAGTTTCCTAGAAGAAACTTACTAAGTAAAAAAAAATTAGAGCCGTTGAACGACGTTGTTGAGAAACTGGGAATGTGAGACCAAATAAAATAAATTCTGGTAGACCAAGAACAACAAGAACAATTAATAAAGAAAATAATATTTATTAATGTATCTCTTGTAAGAATAGGAAGACTAAGATGGGCAGGACATCTAGCAAGATCACAGCAGAACAACCCTCCTAGAAGAATCCTTACTTCCGACCTTGGGAAGGTCGAGGCTCTTTCATAGGGCTGTAGTACCATTGATGATGATGAATATTTAATAATAATATTTAACAGTTAGCGTAAGGAATGTAGCAAGACAAACAAATACTTCTTCTTCAAGTACTTGGCGGATACTGAAATAATACCAATTACCTTCTTATCATTACAGACAAGTCCAAAAGCTCTTGCCAGATGATCTACCGGTTAGAATGGATTTTTTTGAAACATTGCAACAAAGGACAGCCCACAATCCAAATTTTTTAAAATGCATTCTTTTTACGGACGAGCCCACCTTAAGCGACAAGGTATGTTTAACTCCCATAATGCACACTACTGGTGTGATGAGAATCCACGAGTCAAAAGGGTACCACATTACCAACACTCATTTAAAGTTAATGTTTGGGCAGCAACTTTAGGTAACAAATTAATAGGTTATCATATTCTACCTGGAAATTTAAATGGTGATATGTATCCTGATTTTTTAAACAATTCCTTATTCGAGGTATTAGAAGATTTAACGCTAAACGAGCGAAGATCTTTATTTTTTTATGCACGATGGACCTTCACCACACTTTGATAGAAGGTGTCGTGATTGGTTGAGTAATCATTTTTCGAATCAATGGTAGAGGTGCATAAGCTCCGATTCATTGGCCTCCTCGGTTATGCGATTTAAACCCTTTGGACTACGCAGTTTGGTCGTATATTAAGGAAAAAGTCTATGCTACAGAGGTAAACTCACGCCAAGAATTGGAAGAAAGAATTCAACGTCAATTTAATGACATCATAGCTGATCCCCTACCGTTTAGAAGGTTAATGGACTCTTTTGAAAAAGAATAGACTTGTGTATTCGCGAAAACGGAGGGAATTTTGAACACTTACTGTAATTGAATTTTATTTTATGTTCTTAGTCATTAATTTGATTTTCTTCTTGAGAGTTTTGTTTAATTACTAACTATTTTATAACAGAATCAATTATTACTTCATAATTTTACTTCAAGATTTAGAAATCATCGGTAACTACCGTTCGTTGCTAACTTCGATAACCGTGACCAGTGACCAGATAAATCAAATATCAAATCACCGTCACCGTCTCACAAAACGTGTTTATATTATAAATAGTATGATATTCTACTATTACCACTGGTGGTACCGGTTGCCTAACTGATTGAAAATTACAAGGTACTGAGTTGAACAGTAAGTAGGCTATCTTCTAAGAAACAAATTTCCATAGGTATTTTTTGTTATTATCTACTGATACATATTTCTATTGTTAAAATATCAGTAAACCTATTTAATATATTTTTTCTTCTATAAAAAAATCCTTAAAGCTTACAATGAAATTTAAGTAAACTTCTGGAGATGATTTTTCATTTTATGTAAACAAAGATTGTCAAGAAAGTTTTATAGTGATTTTAAAGAATTACTTTATTTTTAGTATCTTAGATTTGTTATTATAATTTAAACCATCTAGTTGCGTTAGTTAAACATATTCAATATCAACAATATGTTTTTATGGTACTACCTAACAGAGTGATCTCGATCGTGTTGTTTAGTTGACGATTACTGTGATTACTTGTTACTGTATCTATATAAAAGAACGGTGATCACGGTCAGCCCGTTATACAAAAATCACTGATCACGGCGTGATTTTAAAAATCACCACGTTCGCTACCACTATCTCCTAGTAATCTTTCAGCATATGTATCTTGTAATCAGCACAGCCAAAATTAGCACATTCTAATTGTCGCCCTATAATTTAGATTAACACTCATCGCTCTATCAAACAATAATTTTAAAACATACAAACACTAAAGATTCATAATGTATTAAAAGAAAAATTAAATTGTTTACATACCTAAAGTGTAAGCTACAAATAGTAATATGGCAGCTGCCCAGAACGTCCATTTCCCAAGTGGTTCTACATCAGGACGATCTGAGTCCGAAGCATAAAAGTTATAATCGAGTAGAGCAAAATTTAGGTACATAATCACCGTAAACAGAAATCCAGTAAATGTGAGTAAATTTGGAGCTATGAAACGTGGACAGTACTAAAAAAGAACAGATTATTTGTTACATTGAATAATATAATTTCAATATACTTAAAACAAGACAACCTAGTAATTTCTAAATGTTTACAAAATTTATTAAGAAATCAATAATTGTATAGATTTAATGCATTTTTCTAGAGTGAAATAGTTCAGTCTTTTTATGACACATTGTGTCATTACTGCTTTTTCCGCAGTATCTCTGCCCTATTAACGATTGTCGGTCCAATATACATTCTACATCATGTATCTTCCTTATCATTTGTTATTACTGCTTGGTCATCAGTTAACTGTGAAGTGTAAAGAGTCGTGTTTTTGAGTTCCCTTCCCATTCCTTAAATTATTCTTTTCTATTGCTTTAAAGCTGCTGCAACATAGATTTTGAACAATGTTGACGATATGTAATATACCTTTATCCACTCAGAATTGATTACTTATATTTTCCTATTTTTACTCCTGATTTTCTCTCATTATATGGATTTGGTAGAGCTGTAATGAGTTAACCAATACTAATCTTCGAAAAGGAAAAACGAATTGCGTCTTAAAATATTCGAGTGGAATAAACAAAATCCAATTGTTTATTTACATTGAAAAAACCGAGAAGCGAAATCCAATAGCCAACTAAGTGGAAATGTGAATTACGATATTTATGCATGCTTTATTAATTACCATAAAGTGTTCGATATAGTAACTATAGTACATAGTAGAGTATAGTTAGTAGTTCTTATATCCACCTGCTTACAGTTTAAATTAACAAAATGCTCTTGTACACATTTATCAACTGCTTCCTCGTCCTCGTCCTTGATTTTTTCTTTTCTTGACCATACATAATAACTACTTAACTACATAACCTTTCCAAATCTTATGAAAAATCTTCTAAGGTCAGTTTCAGTAACATTTGATGGCAAACCTCCCAAAAATAGTTTGGGATAACCCCCACCTTTCTTTGGCTTCTGCAATGTTCTTGGGTTGCATGGTTTGGTATCGATTGTCCTTCCATCCACAGTATGCAGTCCATTATGTAAAACAAAATTTACATTTTCTGGATCTGAAAATATGACGAAGCCAAATCCCCTCGATATTCCAGATTCTGCATTCTTCATGACTACACAGTCAATTACTTCACCATAATATCTGGAAAAGTATCTTTGTAAATTATCCTGGGTCGTCTCCCAGGATAATCCTCCCACAAAGAGCTTTTATCCAGGATATGAGCCATCAATGTATGGAGCTATGCTATGCTTGGTGTGGCTGTCCGTACTCATACTCTTCCATTATAATTAAGACACCTACCTTGGTACGAACGTCAATGAAAATTGGGACTATTCCCTAGAAATCACATGTAGGACAGAGAAAGCAAGATCTGTATTTCAAACAATGGCTAAGCTATTCAAATGCCATCATTTATCAGTACCCATAAAAATCAGGTTACTACGATGTTATATCTTTCCTATACTGTTGTACGAAGTTGAGTCGTGGACTCTCAAAGACGCTACCTGCAAGAAAATTAAGGCTTTCGATATGTGGCTTTCCAATGTGGATATCCTATACCGATCAAGTTACTAACCAGGACATTTTATTATGCAAAAAGGAAAAGAGTTGCTAACCACAATAAAATCAGCCAAAATCGAATACCTCACATAATGAGGAATAGCTAAAGATATGGGTTGTTGCAATTGATTCTATGTACGTGGTTCAACACAACAACCATAAATCTTTTCAGAGCAGCAATTTGCAAATACAGATTGCCATGATGGTCGCCAACATCCAAAATAGATAGGCACTACAAGAAGAAGGGGAGACATGATCCATGAATGATAATAAACATTCCCATTGAATTCAGTCTTGGTCTGACGACCAGCCAGTGAGGAGTAAGGTGGTACTGAGAGGTTTGTCCCGGTACAAGCGACGTGAGTACTAACGATCCCGCTACGATGTTTGGATGCGGCGTTGCCTGATATGGTTGTAATAGATATCGAAAGATTCCCATTTACATCGTGAGGAGATCAAGTCGAATTTTGATGTTGACGGTCGATCAGTCAGACCGTACCAGCGCAGGTACGAGCAATGTTTGGTTACTTGTGGACACCTTCGCCCATACAAGCGTATCTTTGACAGTTTTAGTAGTTTTTTTTTTGAGAAACGTGTTCATCAACTACATGCATTTATACTTTGGTCCAGAACCAGTTATGGAATGCAGTTCATCCACTTATTCCGTATTAAAAGGATCTGTATAGATTGAAGCCATAAGAGTATCAGTAGCGGATCTTCTAGACATTTTCCCTTGGGGGTACTTTTCCAATGAAACACCGACCAAAGACATAAGAAAGATAAACTCAAACTACATAATAGGTTTTTTCTTTAATTTTGGACCATTTTGGGAGGGGGGATTTCCCCATTCCCTCTATGTATCCGCCACTGAAGGGTATAGTTAAAAAAGATCCAAAAGAGTTTTATTTTACTCTGGTATTTCTGCGAAAGACAATATAATTGCAAGAGCTGAAATAAGAAAAATAATGGCGTGTGTATCAGAAACTTGGCCCAACACAGTTACAATACAAAGACTATTGGGAATGGCGTAGAATGGCAAAGTAATATTAGAAATAATTTCATATGTGCTACTTCAATTCAGTACTTTAATACAGCACAATCGACCATCTACATACGCTTAAAATCTTAATTGAGAAAACCAATGAATATAACCTTCCGCTGTACTTAGCATTCGTAGATTATGAAAAGGCTTTCGACAGCATTGAACACTGGGCGGTTGAAGAAGCTCTGGTCAATAGTAGAATAGATTCAAGATACCGACAATTGATACATGATATTTACCAAAACGCAACCATGACCGTAATTCTGGACGACAAATTAATAACGGATAATATAAAAGTTAAAGAGGAGTCCGACAAGGCGATATAATTTCACCTAAACTGTTTACCTTGACCCTCGAAGACATAATAAAATCAACAGATTGGGAAAACAGAGGAATATGTATTAACGGAAAATACCTAAATCACCTTAGATATGCGGATGATATACTCCTGATCTCCTCGGTACGACAAGAACTGGAATTAATGCTGAATGAACTTCATGAAAAATCACTGCAAAAAGGCCTAAAAATTAACTTCAACAAAACAAAAGTAATGACAAACACGGAAGACCAAGAGGCAATAAAAATAAAAACAGAAAAAATAGAACAGGTAAATGAGTATATCTATCTAGGACAAGCAATCAGAGCTAATAGAGAAAATCAAACAGCCGAAATATCGAGACGAGTAAGAATGGGATGGGCAGCGTTCGGCAAACTTTCTAACGTTCTAAAAAATCAAACAATCCCTCTATACTTACGAAGCAAGGTATATAACTCCTGTATCATACCGGTGCTCACCTACGGAGCACAGACATGGACATTTACACAGGCCAATTTGGATAGGATAAGGAAGGCACAAAGAGCGATGGAGAGACAAATGTTGGGTGTATCACTTAGAGATAGAAAACGTAACCAGTGGATCAGAACCAGAGCAAAGACAGTAGACGCGATAGAACAAGCAGTAAACTGAAATGGGCTGGACACAATGAACGTCTCCAAGACGGACGATGGAACAATGTCATCGGAAAGTGGCGTCCATACAATGCAAAGAGATCAAGTGGCAGACCACATATGAGGTGGAAAGATGACATCAGGAAACAAGGAGGTCCCACATGGCAGAGAACAGCTCAAGATAGGGAAAGATGGAGAGAACTGGGGGAGACCTATATCCAACAATGGAAGGATAGAGAATAGGTTCAAAAAAAACTTTAATTCAAGTTTAAAATAAAGAATAAAAAGAATTGATTAGACGTATTGATATTAAAGTTTGCGATAGTATTTCGAATATTATTAGATTTTGACGTCGCGTCAGTATATAGTGCAGTTATCTAAGTTATATAATTAGTTCTATACTTGTGTTGTTGCAATTTTAGGACAATTAATTTCATTGTAATTGTAGATTTGACCTTGTATATTCAAACTATTTTTCATTTGCATCGAATGGTTCTAAATAGGAAATAATAGTCAATGTTTACCGTGAAGTTTGAACATATCAGGTGTAGATTAGTTCGACAACCTACAAAAGTACTTTACATTTGTTTTGTCATTTATAATTTCAATACAATTTAATTGCTTGGATTCATGAACGAAGTTAATGAAATTTTAGAATAAACAAAAGTTGTACCGGGTGTAACCTGTTCTGACAGAAATTCGAGCCGAAATCTTCTGCCTAGCATGACCTACACATTCTCTATCGGGTTCAGGTCTGGGGAACACGCTGGCCAATTCATTGTTGTTATATCAACTTGTAATAAAACGTCTCTTACACAGTGGACGACGTGCCATATGGTTTTGGAGAATATCTCTGATGTACCTAACTACTGTTAATGCTCTACCATCTATCACCACTAACATTGTTGGCGCACCCAAACATATACTTCCCCACACTATAATTGAACCTCCACCAAAAGGTACAGTAGTAGTAACATGAAAATATGCGTTTTGTTCTTCTTAGCGTCGATAGAATCTTTTCCTACCGTCGGTCGATGGAATTTACACAGAAACGGTTCTCATCCGTGAAAAGAATTTAACCCCACTGATTATCATTCCAATTTTGATATTCTCGACCAAACACTTTTCGAGCTACACAATGGTGTATCTGGATTCTGGGAGCTTTCATTGGTACATGACTTGTAACCAGTTTCCTTTAAGTCTCCTTTTTACGGTGCGGTAATGTATGGTGCATGGTGTAGTTATAAAAGTATTTTATAACCTGTATTACTACGAACTTCATAATATGTCCCCAAGAAATAAAAATCAATCGCATTATACTCAGGACTTCTTGGTGGCCATTCAAAATCACTTCCTGTGCCAGCCCATCGTTGAAATGCGTCATTAACATAATTTATAACAGATAATGGGAAATGAGGAATATAACAGATAATGAGAAACAGGTCATCATGCAGGGTAGAGTCGATGGCAAAAAGGGAATAGGTAGAAAGAGGAAGTCACGGCTGCGAAATATTCGAGACTGGACAAACATGACTGTAGACGAATTATTCCACGTTGCAAAAGACAGAGAAGCTTTTAAAAATGTGGTCGCCAACCTCCGTTAATGGGGACGGCATAGGAAGAAGAAGAATGGGAAATGAGGTAGAGCTCCATGCTGCATAAACCACTTTTGTCTTCTTTTACGTCCATTAAAACAGCATAAAAAATATCACTAGAAGTATTTTGCACAAAAAAAGTAATAATCTCCATTTAAATATGAAGAAAGAACACATGTTTTCACCATCTTTTTCAATATAAGTCACTAAATATAAAATAATAAAAGAATACTGTATCTTTTCATTATTTTATTAGTCAAATGGACACATTTTGGTCTAAATAACCTAACTCTAGTCTATGTCCCAACAGTTATAACTCACTTTGTACAAAGAACCAGAAAAACTGTTTCTTCTAAAACTTTCTTCAAATGTAACCTCATTAAACTGTTTACCTTTCTTTGTTTGATCTAGTGCTGATGTATCTTCCCTGATTTGCTATTTTACACACTTTTAATTATTTCTGTATCTGCTGGTTATTCGATAAATTCTTAGTTTACTAAGGAATTAAACTGTTGCAGTCAATACATGTGCACAGTTTTTCATTCCCCAATATTTTAATATTTTCATGTCTAATATGATTTAAATATTTTGCTTCTTTTTATTAAGCTTTCATTATTTTATATATACAGAGGGGCCCAAACGTCTGGAAACGGATAATTCGGAGATTCAAAATTTGATATTTGCAATATTGCCAGATTTGCCGTTTCTCTTATATTATTAGTAACTTTGGTTTTTCAAATTCATCACCCTGTATATTCAGTCATTATTGGAATCTCCTATTTCGAGTTCAACCATATGTAACACTTATGATTTTATGTGGTCTGGAAGGTCTTAAATACAAAAAACAGAAGTCTGGCAACGCCTAAATGTCTCAATAAATTGTTTAATACTAACTATTTTCAACTACATTAAAACGTAGACAGATTACAACATTTTTAACAAAATGTTTACTTTATCAAGTGTTCAAAATGTGTTCCATTTGTGAGTTGACAGTACCCTAATTGATGGTAGAATGCGTCTACGACATTTCTCCATGATTGTCTAGAAATTATTCGAGATTCATCGATATGAATTTTAGGATTGAAATCAGGTAAACGTGGAGGCCATTCAATTCGTCCGGGAAATATTTCATCTAAATAACGGCAAACATTTACACCAAAATAAACTGGAGCTCCATCTTGCTGAAACCATATCTGATTAAAATTAGCCCCAAACAAGTTTTTCGGTGTAGGTACAATTTCATTTTTAAGTAACAGTTCGTAACTACCTGACGTTAAATTTCCTTCAATAAAAAATGGACTGAGTTAACTGAGTTCCTACTATGCCTGATCATACATGTAATTTTTGTGGTTTTCGAGTATTTAAGACCTTCCAGACTACATAAAATCATAAGTATTACATATGGTTGAACTCGTGTTGAATAGGAGATTCCAAGAATGACTGAATATACAGGGTGATGAATTTGAAAAACCAAAGTTACTAATAATATAAGAGAAGCGGCAAATCTGGCAACATTGCAAATATCAAATATGGAATCTCCGTATCCCAAAATAGGTTTATGTCAAATTTTGTAAAATTATGACTAGCAATTTACGAGATAATTGGTCGTTTCCAGACTTTTGGGCCACTCTGTATATATATTTTGTTCGTTCGTTTCCAACTAATTTTCCTTAAATTTTGTCAGCATTTCCAAATATTGTTTTTCCTTTTTAATGAATTTCGGTGTAACACTGAAATGGTTTTCTATATTACCCTATTATAAATTAAAAAATCAAAATGTAGTTGTTTAAAAAACCATCCTGTAATAAAACCTTTTTTATTCCGAAGAAAATGTCAGTCATTGTTTCGTACTCGCTTGTAAGATAAAAATAACCCATGTATTTTTAAACCAAATAAAAATTCAATCGATGTCAAGTTGTTTGATTTTGTTCTGCTACAGCAAACTCACATTGCTCATATCTGATCCAATTATTGTAACGATTTTAAATACGACTGTAATTATTGCTTCGAGGTAAAATTTAATCCTTGTAAATCTACTTAGAAATATGTTTTTTAAGTTTTTATATAATTTACATGCAACCTGTAAATATTTTTTGGTGGTTGCAATGGTGATCCACCTGTGTGGATGTGTGACTGTGAGATTGAGCTCACCAGTAGTAGTCCACGGATGAAAAACTCGGTGGATAAGCTCTCATCCCCAACACGGAGCATCCCACTGATAGGGAACGTCCTATAGGTATATATGACCATAGGATAGGTAAGACCAAACGTAACTGATGTTCAGAATTTTATGCACTATTCAAAAATACGACAAGAAACCAACTGACACTGGAACTCAATATATTTATATTATTTCATTAAATTTTATGACAGCTCGTGGAATTCCCCATTTAAACATGTAAAACCTTTACATAAAACGATAGTATAGTCATAGTCGGTTCGATACCAATCCGTAAAATCTATGGGATTCCCACATTATTACAACTTTATTAGAATTCATTTTATTTGACATAAGCTGGCCGGGGTATTAGGAGACACCAGCCTATAAAATTGAAGTTTAAATTTAATCTAACCGTTAAATGTAGTTATAGGCATAATTTTTTATCAGCCAAAAATGGCAGTCCGATGAAGGTTAAGAAAATTAAGCTGTGAGCTTAAAGTTCTTTTTAAAATTGTGTTGAATGATTCTTATTTCGTCGTCATCTCCATCAATCTACGATTCGGTTGGTGATTTTAACAATAGTAAGTATATGTAGTAAATAATTCAGTGGCTAACTTTTCAAGCAAGTCCGGGTTTTTCAACTAGATACAAAGCAGTAAGAGGCACAGAACATTTTATTTTGACTATATTTCAAAACTGATACACTAAGTTAGGTAAATTGTTAATTACTAATTTTACCATTAACTTAAAAATAACTTATAATAGGTTTTTCAAGTATACTTACTTTTACTACCCAGTTCCAGAAGGGGTGCATAACATATATACTCAATATACCAGAGTCTATGCAGTTATACTGAAAAAAAAAATACATGAAGTTAGTTAATTGTTCTACAGTTGACTCAATTTGTTTTAAATATCAAATAAAAGAACATTTTTTATTTAAATTTACGTGTCTCGACAGCGTAGGTCACTGACACAGGTACAATTTTATTACTTTACCCTACAATGATACACAGTTACATTGCAACGGATAAAGAAAAGCTGCATTAAATATTGGTACAATTACTCATTATCAAAATCTAAACAACATTTTTTTAAAATAGCTAAGGTCTTAAAACTAATGTAATGTTTATTTTAATTGATTTACAGTCGTCCAACACTTATTTTAATTTATTTAAGGCTTTTAACATCAACACTAAAAACACAATTAATTTATAACATTTAGTTTCTTAACGCTACAAATTTTTTTATTAGACTAACTTTCTACAATTCAGTTTCCTTTAAATATAGTAAAATCAATCTGTCTAGAATGCAGTTGCAGTACTAGAATAGTGATCAGCCCCCTATTAAGAGATGATTCCTCCTGTAACCTTGTCAAGATTGGAACTGGATGCTAGTATTGGCAACTGGACCCTCTTACAACTCCCAACTTTACTTTACACGCCAGAGGCCTCCGTAGCTAATTCATATTCGAGAGCGGCAGACAAAACATCGATCAGCGTCTTACGACGAGCTAATCGTAGTGTTCTCTGCATTTCATGATTACGAAGATCATCAATAAATGTTTGAACAGCCAACTTTTCTATCATGCCTTCGAGAGCTATTGGATAAGCTTATCGTACTAACCTTTCAATATCTAATTCATATTCTTGAAGCGCCTCAGCTCACTTTTGTCTTCGATTTTTGAACTGTGATTAGTAGACATGCACCACTGTTGTAACGACTATTTTGCTTACCACAGGGTAAGAATATGGGGGACAAGATTGGGCAAACAAAATAATCGAAACAAGTGCATACGGACACTCAGTTGGTTGTTGGAGAGCTGGGTCGTGGATAAGTTGAAGATATTGGGGGTTAGATTGGGGTAACTACAAAAAAAGAAATAAAGGGGTACTTATACAAATCTCTTGCGACAAACAGAATGAAAATAAACGGAAACACCTCAAGAAATTTAATATAGGGCGCCACTTGAGGTGCCCAATTATACCTATTACAACCACTAGTTGTAACTAGGGAAATAATTGTATAACATCAAAAATATAGAAAAAAGTATCTTTTTCAAATAAAACTCAAAATAGATCAGAGAAACAAATTAAACATTTATTTTTGTCTTAAACAAAACAGATCAAAAATACATATTATAAAAGAAACATATCATATAACATAATACAAATAACAAAAACTTACATGTTCTTTGTTTACTATATTATGGCCAATTAGATTATCAAAAATTAAGGATCCTTCTTAATGAAAACATATAAATTTAACCATATATATGAAATATCATTTCTACATAATAATCAAATTAAAATTGTCATAACAAAAAAACAAATTAAGCTTGCTGTCAGGTATCACATTTAATTTTGATGACAAAGAATGAAAGCAATTATTACTTTAGCCAAAAAATATCTGTCTTTACTTTGAAAAATTAATATATTGAATTGTTACCTTAATGTTTTTTTATACAAACACTTTGAAACTTTGCATCTCTGGGGAAGCTACTCGGACAAAACTTTCTAAACTGGAAGGCAGCAACCATCAGGATTTAGTTCTACACTCCAGGACAAAACGATTGGAACAGGAACTTAGTGGAAGAAATAAGCCGACTACGGGGACATCCTATATCATACTTTAAATATTTTCCATATTCTGGTATCTGCACAAATCCTTTAAATATTTAGTGGCTACCCCTTTCTAAATCTGTCATATTACAGAGAGTAATTGTTCCACTATTTAACAAAATTTGTCGATTTTGCAAACTACATAACTAATACGTTTGTCCTGTTTGAAATCTCTCAGTCGACCCTATTGTCACATGTCTGCCCCGCTTGGAACTTAAATCTCGACTCCCTTGTCACATGTCTGCCCTGCTTGGGACTTAAATGTCGACTCCGTTTCAAATCTTTGACTCCATTCTCACATGTCTGCCCCGCTTGGAACTTAAATGTCGACCTTTTTTGCTTCGTTACATTTCACAAGAAACTCGCCAAAAATTTCCCTTCCGTCTTGCAGCTAACCTGTCCCCACAAACTCAAGAACCAAAACAACATCCCCTCGCTTGTATCGACAAAAAAACCTTTTAAATATTCCTTTATTGCGTTTTTAGACGCCAGTATTGGTATCCTAAATAAACAAATATTCTTTTTGACTCTCATTCTAATAACAAAAAACAACTTTTTGTCAACTGGAATATTAGGGGGAATTCATGTAACATAACACCTCTTTGGCGACAAAAAACTGTTTGTTTTACCTAACATTGCAACACAGAGATAAAAACATATTTCCAACGTTAATACGCATTTAAAAATCTCGTCAAAAAAAACTTGAAATATTTACAACGTACCTACATTTAACTTTATTGATCGATTTCTTGGTAGAAACAACAGGGACGTACCATAGAAATATTTTATATACACAATAAATAAAAAAAAAAAACGCTACAATGCCCCTTCTTAAAAGAAAAAACTCGGATAATTCTTATCCAGTTTTTGATAAAGGCAAAACAACAAAAACCAAATCAGAAGATGACCTCTTAACTGAGTCGAAACTTCTTAATAATATCTTTTAGATGATGGCTAGCATGGGATTAAACAACAAAAACAAAGTTAGTAATAAAGAATGGGCTAGCGTGCCATCGATCGCCAGACTCTTTAAAGTCGAGTAGACTGAAATTTTTGACTCTACTTGAACTGTAGGTGACATGAGTTTCTATGCCTTGGGGAAGCTAACCTTATGCCCTGCAGTGAACCTCGCTGACATTCACAGCAGTAACACAAGTGATTTGTCGGGCAGGCATAGCCATGACACCTCGATGCCTAAACCAAGTGCTATACACAAATCCAAAATAAATTGCTCTACACTTAATATGTAGGCGTTACTATCTCCACTATACGCCTAGCGAGACAGGGAATTCGGCAACGGTTCCACAAAAAAATTAGGATATAGACCCAAAATCTATATACCTACATATGACAAAATGTGATTCTCACATGTGTCTCCCAAATGGGTTACCTGAATTAAAATTATCAAAAGTGAAACAATATTCCGAAGGTATGAAATCAAATCAACATATAAACTCGAAAATACAGACATGGGATAGGATGAACTAATTACTTAAAGATGACATATTGTCCTCATCTGACACAAAAGGCTTTAAATCTTTAATGTGCCACTTACCAAGATCCGAACCATTTAAATCTGACAAACGATAAACCACTGGTGACAATTTTTCCTTGATAGTTGCTTCAATATACTTCGGTGCTAGTTTGGACATAAACTTGTTGACAGCACAAGACAAAACCTTATTTCTTTTCCAAACTCTATCACCCACTTGAAATTGGACTTCTCTTCTACGTAAGTTGTAACTTCTAGCGTTACGTTCATATCCTTTTCGAAGATTAGCCTTAACCTTTTCAAAAACTTTATCTATACCTTTGACTTCTGAAGCATACATGTTACGGTCACCTGGAATTATCTCGATATCTTGATTCTGTTGATCCTTATGATCAACACCATAATAGTTTCCACTTAAAGGAACATGACGGCCATAATTCAGGAAAGCTGGAGTATATCCAGTCACTTCATGCTTTGCAGTGTTAATAGCTTGTCTGATCTTTGCTAAATTCTTATCCCAATCTACGTGGTCTTTAACATACGTACGTATTGCTGTATTAATGGTTCTATTGTTCCTCTCCACAAAATTACACTGAGGTGCATATACTGGGCTAAACCACACTTTCTGAACGTTATACCTATTACAGAGCTCAATTAAGAGAGGATTGTTCAGATTTGAGGCATTATCACAAATCACATATTGAGGAACACCAAACATTAGGAAAACATAATTTTCCAAAAACTCAACAATATTCTTAGCCGTGGCCTTTCTCAAAGGTTGGACTAAAGTATATTTACTAAACCAATCAGCAACTACTAACAACCACGTATAACCTTTCTTTGAACGAACAAAGGGACCTATCAGATCTATTGCAACTATTTGCCAAGGAATCTTGGCCTCTCTCTGCTTACCCATTTTTCCTAATGGAGCATAATTTGGTGTCTTCTGAGCACCACAAACTTTACATGACCTGACAAACTTAAGCACATCAACACGCATCTGGGGCCAATAATATCTTTCCTGAATACGGGACAAAGTTTTGGAAAATCCAAAGTGAGCACACGTAGGTGGCTCATGACAAGACTTCATAACTTCAAACCTTTGTGGTTTGGGCACAAGAATTTTCCACTCTACATCATTAGTCGTAAAAGAATTTTTGGTAGGGGCAAACTTATAAACAAAATCATTCTCCACCTTCCACTGTGGAAAATCAAGGGGGGATCGGACTATCTTTGATCTCAAATTATCAAACCAAGGATCTATTCTATCTACATCAACTTCTAAACAATTAACATGGGGACGACTATCAAAATCTTTCTTTTCAAAAATTGGGTTCACTGATGACCTGTAAGGTCTATTGGTCTTAGACCTATTCGAAAAACTACACTTAGGACAAGAAGATATGATCACACCTTTATGACCACAACGCCAACAAGACACTGGCTTGCTTCTACAATCACGGGAAATATGACCTGGTCTATTACAATTGAAACAAATAATCTTTTTCGGATTTCTTGGAGCTTGATAAGGGACTGACTGCATTAATGGAGGTGGGGACGAAAAAGATTGCATCATTGGGGGTGGGGACGAAAAAGACTGATTTCTTATTTCAGTATTTTCTAGTGGACTGGGTCTATTATTCTCATACTTATATTTGGGATTGAGTCTCTTAGAAGAATTTTCTCTGTCCTGTCTGTTACCTACTCCACTTCTATCTTGCTTGGTTTGATTATTCACCA